AATGGCTTGGGGGATGCGGGTCATTCTCCTTTCTGCCACCTCGAGACAGAATGCCGACCTCTGTCGAAGACGCCACGAAGCAATTCGATGAAGCTTTGAAGCAAGCCTTCGGCGCCGCCGCGGACAACGTGTCCGTGGCCGCCGAAAAGGTGGGGGAGTTGGTCCACTCGAACAAGAAGATCAACTTGAACCACGTCCACCGGTTGATCAACGAGGGGTTGGTGAGCTCGGACGCGAGCCACCGCGAAGTGTCGGCGCGCGTCGTGGCCTCGATCGCGCTCAAGAAGGACCGCCGCGTGGAAGCGTACACCGCCGGGTGGTTGCCCAACTTGTTGGACGCGTACGCGGACAAGAAGCTGAACGTGCGCGGCCCGGCCCAAGAAGCCGCCGTGGCGTTGGTGCAGTCGTTCAACGAGAACGCGCTCAGCTTTGTGTTGCCGTTGATCTTTCAAGGTCTGGACCGCATCAAGAAGTGGCAGACCAAGGAAGGCGCGCTCAACTTGATCCTCGACTTTTGCGCGTTGCACCCGGTGCAAGTGTCGCGCAACCTCCCCGACATCATCCCCAAGGCGATCGAGCAGATCTGGGACACGCGTCCGGAGGTGAAGAAGGCCGCGAACGCCGTGATGATCAAGGCGTGCTCGACGGCGTCGAACGCGGACATTGAGCCGTTCATCCCTGCGTTGGTGTCTGCCATGGCTGACCCGACCCAAGTGGCCGAGTGCGTGCACAAGTTGGCGTCCACGACGTTCGTCAAGACGGTGGAATCCCCCGCGTTGGCCATCATGGAGCCTCTCTTGGTGCGTGGGTTGAACGAGAACAAGACGTCGGTGAAGCGCCAGACCGCGGTGATCATTGACAACATGTGCAAGCTGGTCGAAGACCCTGCCGAAGCGCTGTTGTTCACGCCCAAGGTGTTGCCTACGTTGAAGCGCATCATCGAGTCGGTGGCCGACCCCGAATGCCGCGACGTGGTCAAGCGCGCGCACAGCACGCTGCTCATGGCCGCGGGGAACGTCGAGCTTAGCGAGGACGAAGGCAAGGTCGAGTTCTCGGCCGTGCTGGCCGCGTTGAAGGTCATCATCGCCAAGATCCCGGCCGCCAAGAACGCGCACATTGACGAAGCCACGCTCAACTACGTGGCCGGGAACGGGTTCTACCTGACGCTGGCCCGCAGCTTCATCCCTGAAAAGTGGTCCCAGTCGGTCAAGCCGTACCTGCTCGCGTTCCTGGACGAGCACGAGATCCCACACGTGACCAAGGACTTTCGTGAAAAGTGTTTCAAGGACAACAAGCTCAAGATCGCCGACGACGTGATCGAAGAAGACGTGGGTGAAGACTTGTGCGACTGCGAGTTCTCGCTCGCGTACGGTGGCATGATCCTGCTCAACAACGCGCGTCTGCAGCTCAAGAAGGGCCACCGGTACGGGTTGTGTGGCCCCAACGGCGCCGGCAAGTCGACGCTCATGCGCGCGATCGCGAACGGCCAGTTGGAAGGGTTCCCGTCCAAGGACGAAGTGCGCACGGTGTACGTCGAGCACAACTTGCAAGCGGAGGAAGCCGACCTGTCGGTGCTGGACTTTATCTCCAAGGACCCCAACTTTGAGGGCGTGCTGTCCCGCAAGGAAGTGTCGGACACGCTTTCGTCTGTGGGGTTCACCGACCCGATGCAAGCGCAAGCCGTGGGGTCGCTCTCGGGGGGATGGAAGATGAAGCTCGAATTGGCCCGCGCCATGCTCATGAAGGCCGACATTTTGTTGCTGGACGAACCGACCAACCACTTGGACGTGGCCAACGTGGCATGGCTCGAGAACTACCTGAACAACGCCGGCGACGTGACGTCGATCGTTGTGTCGCACGATTCGGGGTTCCTCGACAACGTGTGCACCAACATCATCCACTACGAGAAGAACCGCAAGCTCAAGACGTACGTGGGCAACATGTCTCACTTTGTGGAGCTGCGCCCGGAAGCCAAGGCGTACTACAACCTGGAGGCGGCCACGTTCGCGTTCAAGTTCCCTGAGCCGGGTTTCTTGGCCGACATCAAGAACAAGGGCAAGCCCATCATCCGCATGAACAACTGCTCGTACCAGTACCCTGGCACGACCAAGCCGTCGATCAACAACATCACGATCACGTGCGCGCTGTCGTCGCGCATTGCCGTGATCGGGCCCAACGGCGCCGGCAAGTCGACCATGATCAAGATGTTGACGGGCGAAGTGGAGCCGACGACCGGTACCATGTGGAAGCATCCGTCCATGCGCTTTGCGTACGTGGCGCAGCATGCGTTCCATCACATCGAAGAGCACTTGGACTTGACGGCCAACCAGTACATCCAATGGCGTTTCCAGTCTGGCGAGGACAAGGAACTGATGGCCAAGGAGACGCGCAAGATCAGCCCCGAAGAGAAGGCGCGGTTGGAGCAGCCCGTCAACTGGGAGGGCGAGAAGCGCGTGCTCGAGACGATCGAGAACCGCCGCAAGCTGAAAAAGTCGTTCGAGTACGAGATCAAGTGGGTCAAGTTGCCCGACACGGAAAACTCGTGGGTGCCGCGTGAGAAGCTCGAAAAGTGGGGCTTTGAGAAGCTGCTCCAGATTGCCGACGATCGCGAGGCGGCGCGCGCCAACTTGCAGGCGCGCCCCGTCACGGCCATCGCCGTGCAAAAGCACTTGGACAACTTTGGCTTGGGCCCCGAGTTCGGCACGCACTCGCGCATGCGCGGGCTCTCGGGCGGGCAAAAGGTCAAGGTCGTGCTGGGCGCCGCCATGTGGCTCAACCCGCACATCTTGGTGCTGGATGAACCGACCAACTACTTGGATCGCGACTCGCTGGGCGCGCTCGCCACGGCCATCAAGGAGTTTGGCGGCGGAGTCGTCATGATCTCGCACAACCGCGAGTTCACGGACCATTTGGCGATTGAAACGTGGAACGTCGAAGCCGGCCACTGCTCGATCGAGGGCCAGGTCATGGAGGACAAGACCAAGATCGAACAGATCGACTCGCAGGAAACCGTCGACGCGTTCGGCAACAAGCAAGTCACCAAGGTCAAGCGAAAGCTCACCCGCAAGGAACTCAAGGCCAAGCTCAAGTTGAAGAAGGAAGCCGAGAAGCGCGGAGAAATCTACGAAGACTCGGACTTGGACGACTACGAAGACGAATAAATGGATAGATGATTAGCCGAGGCTCGTATTTGGAGCTGACTTTGCTTTTGTATAATCTACGTTATTTTCTTAGCTCACACCAATGAAATGTCTTTGGTTCGTATTGAACGTCAATTTGACGTTGTTCAGACTATTACGTGATTTTATGTGAAAGACATTTCACATAAAATATTGTCAAGACGATTTGAAATTGGAGGAATGGAATGATCAACCTAGTGCATCACTACACCATACATAAATGAAACCTACAACACAAATGGTGATTGTTATGATCGTTATTTAATTAGAATAGAAGAAATGCGTCAATCTATAAATATAATATTAAATAATTTAATTAACTATTTAAATAGACAGACTATTAAAAATTTTAAAAATGAAAAAAAATTAGAAGAAACTGGTATAGTTTTATCAATGAGTGATGGTATTGCTCGTTGTTATGGTTTAACTAAAATTCAAGCAGGAGAAATGGTTGAATTTAATAAAGGTAATATTAAAACCTAAAACTAAAGAACCAAAAACATTACCAATTCTAATTCTAAAATTAAACGTAAAACACCATGAAATAACAAAAAAACAAAAACCTATTAAAAAAATAACATCAGATTTTAAATCTAACGTGTTTACCAATTTCACCAAGTATTATTTATGGAAATAAACCTTTAAATATTAATTTAATTATTCAAAAAAATAAAAAAATAGAATTAATCCACATATAGAAAAAAAAATTTATAAAACAATTTTATGAAAAAATTTTAAGATTGGTTTCTTGCTTAGATGACATTATATTATTATCCTAAAGTATTAGGATAATAATATACAAAAATAGAAAAAATAAACATTAATACAATAAAACCAAATAAATCTTTAACATAAATCTAAAATTTAAATTTTTAAAAATGAAAAAAAATTAGAAGAAAATTTAAATTTTTGAAATTATTAAAATATTTATATATATTTTTTTAATGAATATATTATTTTTATATATGTTATTACAATCTGCTAAATTTATTGGTGCAGAAACGGTAAAGGACTATTTTATTTATTTTGTGATTAATGGGATTTTGGCCATAAAAAATACCTTCTCTTTTAATAAATATTGAAGTTTGATTTAAGTATGTTTAAAGAATCTATGGATTTAGCTTATTTATAAAATTCATTTATTATCTTTATAATACAACCTATTAGCCTTCTTCACTCACTTGCTATTGCTGGATCAAGCTTTCGCATAATTTTTTTTTTCAACTAAAAGAATCTTTTTATATATAAAATTTTTATATAATTATAAAATAATTAGTAGCTATGGAAGGACCTACACCAGTTTCAGCTACTAGGAAATAAAGGTACACAATACCAAATTTTTTGTTATATTGAAAAAATCAAACGAGATTCCGTGAGTAGAAAAAAAAAAAGAATTTAAATTTATAGGTGGGGTGGTTCTATTAAATTAAAAACTCCTATGTTATTTGTTATTGGTTTTTTATTTTTATTTTTAATAGGTGGTGTAACAGGTACAGTACAGTATACAAATGTCTAATTCAGGTTTAGATGTTGCTTTACATGATACCGACAATCGATCGACCAATCAAATCCCAGATTACTAATCAAGTAGCCAATCAAATCTACTAATTCAACATCGAATTAGTATGTGACTGCAATTAGTGTGATATGGCTCGATTTTTATATACAAAAGCCAGTTCAACGAATGGATCGATAGATTTGGCGGAAAAATTCCAAATTTTGGCTAACAGTCTTTGAAGCGAGCGCTACTTTTTGTGGGGTGTCGATAACGTTAAAACGTTATGGACAGTAAGTTCCACAGAGTCGACAACAACACACCGTTCTGACCGTTCTAATGCTCGAACGCTAAGAAAACGTTAGCTGTTCGTACTTTTCTCTACGTTGGGGATGTTATAGCGGTGCTCCAAGCTGTTCTTGCATGACGAAGGCTGAAACTTGCTTCGGGTGTGGAATGCTTGGCCTCCAGACTTCCAATCGCGGATAGTCGAAGTGATAATACCAACTTCGAATTTGCACAACTTCGACGGTCAAATCGAGATTATAATGGCATTCGATTGTCCATCATACAAATATTAACATAATAGAATTGCAATCGACTGTTACATGAAATCGAATTTCATGTTTTTGACACATCTTGAACAAAAACACCCTCATCATCATGGCGGTGCGTCAAGTATTTCGCGCGGCTGGCGCTGGGGCGGGCGTCGCCGTGGCAATCGGCACTGCAGCGCTGTACATCGACGCTCCCATTGCAGACAATGATGACGAGACCTTCCGGGAGCACCGCATCAGTCATCCCCGCGACCGCTTCCCTGCGTTCGTGTCGGCGGCCGCGCGGTTGGTGCTGTTTTACCCCACGACGCTTGTGGCCAAGGTGTATCTTGGCAAGTTGAACAACTTTACATGCCGGAACGAAGAAACGTTGGAGAAATGGGTCCTCTCCCGACCGGATCACCGTGCGCTCATCACAGTGACGAATCACTCGGCCACAGTGGACGACCCCGCCGTCCTCGCCGCGATGCTGCCGTGGTCCTGCGCGCGTCCGAGTCTGTCCCGGTGGTCCATCTGCAGCCAAGAGTACTGCTACGCCAAGGGTCCCCTTCTCTCTACGATCTTCTTCGGGTCCAAGACTCTGCCCATCAAGCGCGGCGCCGGCATCGACCACCCGTTTCTCCAAGACTTGTTCCAGCGGGTGCAAGACGGCGACTGGGTTCACATCTTTCCCGAAGGCAAGATCGTTCAAGGCGGAGGTACTCTGCTGTGACTCCTTCTACTCCACCTAGCCGATCATATGCATATCATGCGTCTGTCTAGGTTTGGGCGGCCGCGACGGTCCCGACGCGGCCACAATCGGACGACTCAAGTGGGGCGTGGGAAAACTCATTGCCCGTGCCGAGATTACGCCGGTGGTGCTGCCAATCTACCACGTTGGCATGGACAAGGTTTGTGTTGCACGTTTCTGTTGGTTTGGTTCCGTCATCATCTCTGGTCTAGGTGATGCCGCAGACCCCCGACCATAAGCTCAAGAGCATCGTGCCTCGGCTGGGCCAGCGCGTGCATGTGCTCGTGGGCTCCCCCATCTACTTTGACGACCTGTTCAAGAAATATGAAGCCGACCGCCGCCAAGGCGTCCAAGTGAGACGACCCCCCAATTTCTATTCCCATCGACCTATATATTTCTTACGACATGGCCTAGGGCGACGGGTTCACGTGGGAAAGCGACGCGGCCGAGAAGAAGCTGTACTCGGCCATCACGCGGCGCATCGAGCTGGCGCTTTTGGCGCTGGAGAAGAAGTGCTATGCCGACTTGGACAGTGCCCGAACAACCTCTGCATTGACGACATAAAGATAGATATGTGTTGATTACAGTTCTTGGTTGCACAGCGGACACGACGGCGCGCGGGTCGAGTTGGCTAGTGTGAGCGCCCACTTATCGAGGCACTCGAGGTGGAAGTCGTGTTTGCATTTCGACAGAATGCGCAGCACGTCGCCGGCCGCGTAGTCTTCGCAGCAGATGCAGCAGGAGGCGGTGGGGCCGCCGCGAAAGTTGTGGAGGAGACGCACGAGCTCCTCTTTTTCGATGACCTGGGCATGGGCAACGCCGCGGAGGACCAGACGTTGCTTGATTTCGTGGACTGAACAAGTCGATGGAGCCTTGAACTCTTCCGTGGGCAAGCGGGAAATCGTCTTCAGCATGCGGTTGTACTGCTCGTTGTGCTCCTGGTACATAGGCTCGTCTTGGACCGCTGTCCCGCGGGCTGACGACTGCAAGCCCGCAAATAAGTACGAGAGAAACCCACTGATGCCGCGCTCGCGCAGGATGACCCGCTTCGAATACACTGTGTACGCGAGGTACCCGAGTCCCACGAACAGCATGAGAAGATCCGAACGGATAGTGAACGATGTGCCTTGGAGAATCATTGGGGCCACCTGCAGCGCGATCATCGCAAAGACCACCGCCGGCGGCATGTTGCCGTTGATCATGATGAACACCATGATGCAGAATAAAGGTTGTGTCAGTTCCCAAGATAATTTTGACCAATCAAAAGCACTTAAAACGATAAACCAATCAAAGTAATTTCTTAGTATTCAAGACCCAATCAGCGGTGATCCCACGTCCGACGTCACAAAAATATGTCACTTGGATGCTGGCAAAGCAAAATTTCCTCTCCCAAAGTGTCTCCTTCCTACAGTAGCACTTATAGTCGATGAGATGGAGTCGCCGTCTTCGTGAACCGACGGCGAAAGATTCGGTAGTCGTAAAGAGATGAATGGCTACCGGTAGACAACTCGTGGCACCCATGGGAATGCTATCTGCCACTCTTCTTTGCCACTCAGGGTCGGTCTGTTCATTCGTGCCATCCATCCAGCACCACGTTTGGTGCGCAGCGTCCTTGGCTCGTGGCGGGAGGGCGTCATCCTTCACCCCAGAGCATGTTGCAACCACGCCGACTACCGGTAGTGTTGCGCTCGTGTCGTTGTTTCTTCGGGTGCTCACGAGGGGCATGGCGAAAGATATCGTACTGGTTTGGCGGTGGGCCATTCGGTTCGCGTCCTGCTTGTTTGCCCCATCATGTTGTATCGCAGTCGAGTTGGCAGTTCAAGGCAAAAGTCCCTTGAAATGGACTCGATGTAGGGGATTTGGAAATGCCGCCACAGTCATTGACATGTTGGAATAGAGGGTTCTGACAAGCAGCAGTCCATTGAGTTCTGGGCACAACCCGCCCGGTGCTTTGCCCGTGGCCACTACTCGTGGAAGTCCAGTTGAAGCCAACATGCACGAAACTGCGCTTGCATCATCTTTCATACGAGTGTGCACTTTATAGAGTAATGAGCGGCAAACGTTACTGCAGGACTCACCAAGCTAAAATGGACGACTAGTCGCTCAATACTTACAAGTAACCTGTGGGCACACACATGTTTGATAGAGCATTGTGTTGGTGTCACCACAAGACACTGGAATAAGGAAAAAGCTATTCAAGCCAAAACCATTGGTTGTCAGCTAGTTATGGCTTCTTCGTCGTCAAGACTGCTGTTGATACTGGGGCTGTCGTGCTGGTTGGAACGACGACTGCTGGCCCTGCTGTAGTCGTGGTGGTGGTGGTCGTGTCGTTACCAGCGGCGTCGATCTTGACGCAGTCGATGGTGCCGGTGCCTTTGAACTTGAGCAGTGCGTCCGAGTAGTCTTGGTTGTAGGCGCTCCACGGACGCACGGGGTCGTTCTCGTACAGTCCATAGTTGAACTCGCCAGCCTTGGACGTGTCTCCGTTGAACTGGTACACGCTATCGGGGTTCAAACTCCACGCGAACCCCCCCGACATGTTGCGGTCGGCCGAGTACTGGACAAACAGCTCGATCACGCGCGACGACGTTTTGAGCGGGAAGAGGTCCTTGGCGCCGTAAATCCCGCCAAACTCGCCAAACATGACGGGCGACTCGATGTTCTTGACGGCGTTCCCGAACGCCAAGTCCAGCGCCCGGTACACATTGGCCTTGAGACTGGCGTTGCCGTCGGCGGTCGTTGGCCACTCCTCCACCACCGCCCCTCCCCCCGCGCTCGCAAACGACGCAAAGTAGTACGGCGCCGGGTACACGCTGGGTGAGTAAAAGTGCGGCACGTACACGAGTTTGTTCTTGTGGGCCGGCGCCACGGGCACGGGGTACTTGGTCACGTTCTGCAGCGCCGCACCCCACCACTCCTGGTAGTACAGTGTCGTGTTGGGTCCTGCCTTGGTCACAAATCCGTGGTTGGTCAGCGTCGCCGACGCCAGCCCCTCGACGAACGCCATCCACTTGGGGCATGCCGCGAGCATCGTGTCGGCCAGCTTGGCGGCGGCCTTGGGCCAATTCTTGGCGTCTGGACAGGAAACGTCAGCCGCGCCCCCGGGCCAGCAGCCGTCGTGTGGCTCGTTCTTGAGGTCCACGCCGAGCACGTTGTAGTAGTTGGAGTTGCACAGGTCCGTGGCCAACGTCTGGATGGCCTGGTTGATGGCTGAGGCGGGCACCGTGGCGCTGTACCACAGCCCTTCCGTCTTGCCCTCCACGGCCGGGTCCAGTTTGTGGATGTCCAGCAGCACCGACACGCCCTTCTTGGCCAGCCCCTGGACGATCTTCTTGATCATGGTCATGTAGTCCGACACGACGAGCTCGGGGTTCACCACCGGGTCCACAAAGTCCTTCACGTTGGGTGCCGCGTTCGAGTTGATCATGAGCACGTTCAGCGGCAGCCGCACCGCCGTCATGCCTTGCTTGGCCATGCGCTCGACAATGTCGTCCTGTCGCCATAGTCCAAAAAGGCCTTTCAAATGGAGAAAGAGAAATACGATGATGATAATGACGACGTACCAAGGCGGCTTGGCCAAACGCGAGGCCATGGGGCACGCCCTCCGAGTTCTCCATGCCGCTCCAGTTGATGCCCGTGATGACGATCTTCTGGGGCGGCGCGCTCTTGTACGTGGCGTAGATCACGCCTTTGTCGTTGATAAAGTCGGGCTGTTCGCAGACTAGAAGACAAACCATATAAACTACAGATGTACACTTGACGCGGACGTACTTTTAGCGGGCGTGATGGGTCGCGGCGTGCGGTTGAGGATAAACTCGGCCTTTTCTTGCTGCTTTTGGGCCGCCTTGTACAGCTTGATGGAAAACCACGTGATGCCAAAGAGCGAGCCAGCGACCATCAGAAACAAGAGCAGCCAACCAGGCCACACACGCTTGCGACCAGAAGTCTTGGTCGGCCGGTCGCCGTCCTCAACCTTGCCAATACGGATATCTGGTCGTGCTGCTGCGATCGTCCCTCTGTCAGCCATGGTTTGTCGGTCGCCAAATGTTGGGCGAGCACCGCCGCTTTGCAAATTGCTTTCGTTGGAATGTGAGCTGTCCATGACGCTAGATTGCTGCACCAGGTATGTGTTGTACCCTCGCTCCGCCGTGGTGTCTTGCCACACCTCGACGTTCTCCATAGGATCATCGTGTGCTGCCACAGAGTCGTGTGTGTCCTGCGTGTAGTACTGCGGTCGGCTCATGCTGATCGCCCGATGCTTTGCCAGAAATGTTTCGAAGGCGTAGCGAATGAGCTGCAGGACATATTATTTTGATTTCCACCAAATACATATAGAAAAATGAAGCTACAGTAGATGTTGCGAAATATAATTTGAACGCCGATAGTGTCCTTATGTACCACACAAATATTGAGTTTGCTTCAATCTTAATAGTGAGTAATTTATTTTTTCGATCTTTCACCCTTATCTGGTGGCAAGGTTATCCGGATCATTTTATTTACTACTGTAGTACAGTATATTCACAAAATGATTTTTTCGTATTATCCGGATTCCGTTCGAATTGCAGCCTGCAGAGCGATGGACGATGGATCGTTGACGAAGGTTCTGAACAATGCCCGAAGCGTGAACTCCCAGCTGATGAAGGCGAACCTCGGCTTACTCATGTCAATCCGAGAGACGGACTGCGACATTCAGCGGGCCAAGGAACAGCTTCAGAAATACCACACACAACTCGAGGGTCGGGGTCTTGGCATTGGGTCCGCATGCAGCGTCCAGCCAAACAATACGAGCGAATCTGGGGCGAAACCGATAGCAAGCAACCCTGGCGGAGGTAACGAGGCCTCCGTCAACGCTGAAGACGACGATGATGACGATCAGAACACCGATTCCAGCTCCGATTCGTCCGGGAATGAATAACTTTGTATTTTGTGATGGTGTTGTTTACCCTTACACACATACAGCTTGCGCACTACGGAGACGTCCAGTATTTCACGGCAACGGCGGACAAGTTGGTTTCTGTCGCACGGCTTCGCCACTTCATCAGGACTTAGCAGGTAGGCATGAAGCTGACCTCCTGGGTTGGCTACGTCTCTGAACAATCGACCTCCATGCACGAGAATAACATGCATACGTTCTGGACGCGGGCCAATACCGTGTCATGGCGGCCTTCACGGCGTTGTACATCATGTGCACGTTGACGACACTTACGACATTTCTGCACACACCTTCTCCCTTGGTGCACACCCCCGAGCCCAACCAAGTGCAATCCTTGTGGAACTACCGTGACGGCATTCAGCTCGCCGATGGAAGATGCGCTGCTGCTCCGTGGGTGAGATCTACCCTTGTCGACCCACATCACAACGACGCTGTCCAACGCTTTGACTGTCAAATGATCGGCCAAGACAGCACTACTTTGACGCGCCGCTGCAAGTCAAATTCCACCCATATGGTCCCGAGCTTGGTGGCGTTTGCGAGAAGTTCGACGTACGCGATGGACGCCAGTAGGACTACTAGAGTACATACCGAGTCGTACGCCGCGACGTTGTTGGTGCTGTTCATCAAGTAGTCGGACTTCCATACTCACCAGAATCGTTTGCATCGTAACGATTCATCGACGACGCCCTTCGACGGTCCGAATACCAGTACCGGTATGATAACGTAGATGGCCAGTTTATGGTGCACGGGACAGTTTAAAGTGCACTTAAATTGGCCAATGGAATTGCTTGAATTCATGAATAGCCAATCGAATCACTAGAAATATCAAATCACGCAAAACTCGCATACATATTTTAAGCTTAAACCGTCCGTCCTTCCTATTTTGCCTTGAAATCGAAGTAAATGAATGCTAAGCTGAAGTCTATTCAAGCCGATTAAATAACCAGAAGAATGCCCAACCTTTCGGCTTCATGCAGCACTTTTCAGAATTGAAATCCCGCCCCTGAGACACGAATAAGCTGCATTCTACGACGAGGTCTCTTTCAAGTGCACCATAAACTGGCCATTTACGTTATGGCGCGAAAATGTTCAAAAAAATCGATTGGAAAAAGAATGATCGAAACATGTATTTAAAAAAGATATTTGAAGAGTTTATAGTTAGTTTGTTTTTAAAACAGAATAAAAAATGCAAGCTGTTTTTTAATTCGTACGGCGTATTTCGATCGTTGTTCCAGACGCGGTTCTGGACAAACCAGGGAAAAAATGGCGCTCGACGACGCAATCCAATGCCCGACGTGCCTCGCGCAGTTTCCGCTTCGTGACGATGCCTTTCCCGTGCACATGTCGACATGCGCTCCAGGCGGCACAATCGACGCAGAGTACAAGAGCTGCTTGATCTGCTTCAAAGTCTTCGGGCCGAACGTCCCTTCCTACGAGATCCTGTTTCACAGGGACGAATGCGAACGGGTAAATGGTCCGCCTCCAAAGCGTGCAGGCGCACAGAAGCGTCGACGGGGTAGCGATGCAGACAAATCATTGTCTGTGTTGTCCAACTCGTCATCGTTGTCGTCGCGAGCACCATCCTCCCATCATCCCACACCGCCTTCATCGTTGACGTCCGACTTGACTCCGGACTCGCAGACGCTCAACTGCACCCCTACGCTTTGTTTCTTGTGTGGACAAGGCGGCCGACAGCTCGTCGTATGCACGTCCAAATGCTCGCGGGCGTTCCATGTAGGATGCATCGGAGAAACCGCGGCGTTGACTCAGCGGCAAGGCCTGGGTGCGCGCAGAGTGTGGCAATGTGCCGAGTGCAGTCGAAACGTCCACACGTGCTTCTCGTGTGGGTTCCTTGGCGACGACGGCATCGACATGTTCCCGTGCTCGATGGCCGGCTGCGGCCTGTACTGCCACGATCGGTGCATGCCGCAACCCGTCGTCGACGCGGCCGCGTTTGAGTGCCGCCGACACCGATGCCAAGAATGCAGCATGCCCAGCGCCGCGCCGGCGCTTCCATCCGACTGCATCCAGTGCTACAAGTGTCCCACCATGGTGCACAAGTCTTGCGAAAACGGCAAGCCCTTGCCATCGTTTTCCAACGTCGCGGGCGTGTACGGCGACTGCGGCCGGCACGCCGCGGCGTTCCCGCCTCCTGCCCACTTCAAGGCCAAGCTGGCCTTGCAGGACATTGTGCTCGTGTTGGAGTTGGCCAACTACGTTCTGTCTGTGGGGGCGAAAGGGTTCAAAGGCAACCAGGTACAAATGACAATGACACACTGAACCTATTACTGACATAACATGCAGTGGGGCCGCGTGGTCCGCGTGGAATCCGTGGATGGCGGCGCCCAACTGCTCTCGGTGCTCTTGTTTGCCTGCGGTAGCGTGATTTGTGTGCCAGGGCACTGCCTCTTGCGCCTGGGACGCCAGTATGCCCTCACGGTACTGTAAACACCTTCAAGCTGTTGTTGCTTTGGTGTCGATTGAATGCCTCGAGTAGGCAGCGTGCTTGACGGAATGCTTGACGAGTCACGTCCATGCCGAACTCAACATCCGTCAGATCCTCACTGTCGGCGCGTTGTCGGCAACCCAGGTAAGCAAGCGCTCTTTAGAGTCTCAAGATCCGACCATTATTTTTTACCCAAAATTTGGATTATTTTTGTGCTAAATCGCCAAATCGATCGATCGATTCTTTCTTTGTACTGAGTTTTGTATGTACAAAAAGTTGTCCTGTGGGGATTGGTATCACACTAATTGAAGTCGCACACTAATTCGATGTTCATGGTGGTTTCCTGCCATCATCTGATTGGCTCAATTTTTCTGCCGATTCTTGTGAGCATTGGGTCGTGTGGATGTTCATATGCTCCAATCGCTCCAGTTTAGAGCAATTAACACCACAATACCTGTATTATATATGCAATGAATTACTCCGTAAATACTTGCCTCGAGTAATTGTGAATGGTTGTTGGGTCTGTAGCAAGTCGATGCCACCATGGACACGTGCTTGGCGTTTCAAGATTTCGGCAAACAACTCAAGATCATGTCGAGTCAATTGGTGGCCATCGCCAAGGGCGCGAGCCACACGTGGACTTCTGCGACAGCGTTCCAGCCCTTTCAAAAGCTAGACACGCGCCGTCGCCGTCCATCGTAACAAACACACAAAGACACATAATACATCATTGTTTTGTCCATGTGCGACGGGGTTTACAATCGAGTGTCGACGTGTCCGTGCAATTTGGCTTCGTCCGCACACAAGTCAGTCGTGCCGTTCACGACGATGGGGCCCCCCATGCACGCCGGGAGATATTTGGACCCCCCCATCCACGCCTTGAGCTTGGGCGCGTATTCCTTCCGTGTGGGGCAGATGCGGATCTTATGGCGCGTCACGTCGCTCACGAGGCGCTGGACCACGTTCCAAAACGCATTGAACCACACGGGTGTGTTGATCAAGTACACGACGCCGCAGCGTTCGGGGTAGTGCTGGCCTAATTATCGATATATTGTCGATTTGATACAAATTTGGGGACAGGGTGCAATCGAATCGCGCCGACGAAACCGATCCACAATCGATCTGATTGGTTAAATTTTATTGAGAAGGCCTTGATTGGCTAATAATTTTGAGCTCATCTGAAGTAGCCAATCAAATCGATTTAAGTTCCAACGAGAAACCACTCGAAAGCACAATATGTTTGGGAATATTTACTGTACCGATGGGTCTTTGTCAAATTAGGCATATATATATATATATATATCGAATGAAGGTCCCGACATCAGGCATATATATACATATATAAATATGTATATATATACTTCGACGCATATACGTACCGTGAGGAATGTAAAAATAATATATTTATATATGTATTTGTATGCTACGAAAATGAATCATGGGCGTGTATAGGCATAGCGATGGTGAGCAAATATATTCATACTAGTATAAGCTTATATATGAAGGTCCTATCAGGCATATATATATATACTAGTATATATAATCGAAGGTACCATTAGGACCTATGTAAAAATATAAATATGAATATATATATACAATTAAAAATGTGCTAAAACAATGAAAAATCACGAGCGTGCATAGACATACCGATGGTGCGCAACGTCCATGTGACGAACGTGCGGAGGTTCGAGTTGCTCACGTCGGCCAGCTGAATGCCCTGAAAGTCGAGCACCTTCAGCATCTGGCCGGCCGTCGTGTCGTCCACGTTGTACGCGTGTGTGTCGAGGATGCTCCACTGGTACTCGGTCACGTACAAGTAGTGGGTCATGACGTCCTGGAACGAAATGTTGTGCTGACATTCCAGCACGTGCAGCGCGTGCTTGAGTCCTCCCACGTGCTCGTACACGACGAGGCGGTTGTCGCTCGGCGTGCGGCCGCAGTAGAAGTGCTGCCAGTGTTGCTTGATCAGATGAAAGTGGGGACGAGGAAGGCTGAGCAAGTTGTCGATCCCGTGGGAGGCTCGCCATGCCAATGTGTCGACCCACCGCTCGGACGCGTTCTTGGAGCACCCGTGCAAGAATCGAGGCGGAACGAAGTCCGCAGACGACGTCACGTCTGCGTGCGAACATCCACCGCTACCGTTCCACTCGGACGCGTACACTCCTTGCGTGGCAGCCACGTCCACTTCGAGATGCATGTCGATGTTGTCGACGTTTACCTCAAAGTCCATCAACTCGAGCTCGCTGGGCGAGTCCACGTCCGTGGCGTCGTCGGCGAGAGTAGCATCAGTCGTAGCTGGAGAAGCAGCTGTTCCGTCGTTGTCGTCCTTAGATGCTGGTGCTACCACTGCTTCTTTGGCAGGTTGCTTCGACCCGAAGAACTTGAACATGCTCACAACGCGCGTTGATGAATTATGCTCCGAAGAGGAGTCGCACAACCTACTCAGATTATCCGGATGCGTCATTGTACACTACGTTCAAAGTACCGAGGCATGTCATCCGGATAAGCAGGATGGACGGGACAGCGCTTGGGCCGCATGGACATGGTGTGGGGCAGCAGTTCACAACAAGGTCATGTGGCGGAACCAATCTCGCACATGGAAATGAGTGGCTTAATGCGTTACTCAATCTGGAATGTCGCGGTCTTTTGTGATCAGAGCCCCGCGGGAACTCGTGTCGGCAATGCACATCATGAAATGACAAGTGCTTTTTGCAGCAAGTGCAGTTTCTATTATCCGGATACAATAAGCCGGATATTCGGGTGATCTTTCGATGTTTTTAGCAAGTGGCAAGGGGCATATTCACGAGTGATCATGGCATCAGGTAAGCAACAGGGCCCATGACTCGATGGCCACGATGGCTCAATCGGCTCATGCGCTTACTCCCGTGTAGTGAAGGACATCAAGACGAAGCCGAGCGCGTCAGAGTTCACGTTCGGCCGAGAGCTCGGCCAAGGCAACTTTTCGCGCGTGTTCCTCGCTACGCACAACGCGACCAAGGAGGTATTTGCCGTCAAGTTGATCGAGAAGGCGCGTATCATGCGCATGAAGATACGCCATCCCAACATCTTCAACGAAGTCAACATGGAAAAGACGGTGTTGAACATGCTTCGCCACCCCAACATCGTCCGCATGTACCACACATTCCAGGACGCGGCCAACCTGTACTTCCTCATGGAATACGTGTCCAATGGCGAGCTTTGGGACGTGCTGCAGCTCCAGGGCAAGCAAGTCGGGTGTACGGAAGGCTTAGCTCGGTTCTACGCGGCCGACATTGTCAACGCGCTCGAGTACATGGCGTCGCGGCACATTGTCCATCGGTTCGCCTCGTTCGTGTGCAACGTTGCCAGCAACTAATACGTCAACGACGACCGTAGGGACCTCAAACCCGAAAATATGATCGTCGCCAAAGAAGACGGGCACATCCGCATTGTGGACTTCGGCACGGCCAAGAACTTGTCGGACATTTCGCTCAACGGCCCTAACTTCGTTGGCACGCCAGGTCTGCTCCAACTACCACCACACATACATACTTTTGACATTGACCCATAGAGTACATGTCGCCAGAGACGATCGACAACAAATCGGTCGACTGCAAGAGCGACTTGTGGTCGTTAGGGTGCATTTTGTTTCAACTGTTTGCTGGTGAGACGCCATTTCACGGTGGCAGTGCCTACCTCACGTTCCTCCGCGTCAAAGCGGGGACCTTTCACCTCCCCGCCTTCTTTTCCGACGATGCCAAGGACCTCATCACGCAGCTGCTGCACCCCCAGCCCCACGCTCGACCGTCGTTTGAAGCCATTAAAGGTGTTATATCCGATGGCTTTCTTTAATCATTTGCGTCACTAACTTGCCCCTTGTAGCGCATCCGTTTTTCTATGGTGTTGACTTTGCACACCACATGACGGCCAGCCCACCAGAACCCACATCTGAAGACCAGTTCGTGGCGAAATCGGCCGCGGATATAGCGGCGTACGTGGCCGCCCCATCGACCCCCCCCCCCCAAGTCCTCGCGACGGCGTCCGGCCTGCCTCCCGTCACCAAGGCTCGACTCATGCATGTTCTTCATCGCATGCAACTGCTTGCCCACCATCGTACGTACGCCTGATCATCGTCGGTGGCTTCTACTTGTTGTCTTGAGAGTGTTTCTTGGCTACTCTTGAGTGCCTATTTCAGTTGCCATCGTCATGACGGGGTTGCTCACTATTCCTCGTAGTCGTGTACCCAGCGTTCTGTGTCGACGGACCGGCGGCGGGACGATGCCGATACGCCACCCGCCGAGGGTACATTGGATACGACCACACGGTGCACAACCAGTGGGTCAAACCCTATCGCTTCGTACATGTACGTGTTTTGTCGTGGCCATTTGGAACTTTCGTGGCCATTTGGAACTGTACGACCATGGACTTGTCGGTAGATGTCTGGGCCAGCCCTCAACCTTCAAGGCCACGACGGAGCGCAACGTGAACTGGACCACTTCGAACGTGTGCTCGCGACTGTGAACGATCTCCGCCCCACGTTTGTCGTGTTCTCTGGCAACATGACTAGCCCTGTCACGACGAATGACGTGGCAGCAGCAGGCGACGACGACCAACTGGACCACAAAACCAGATCTACACGCATAATGACAGACTTGTTCCAGGCGGCCGTGCACAGGACATTGGACCCCACGATTCGAGTGGTAACGATACTTCAACGATGTATTAAACCATCTCCACTTACAACATGTGGGTTGGGTACTCCTGTGCAGGTATTTGTGCCAGGCGAGTTGTCCTCCGAGACAGCAACGTCGTCGCATGGCGCGTTTGGCGACGATTTCTACAGCTTTTGGTATGAATAATCTGTGACGATGTTGAATGTGACGTGGTTGGGGGTTGTCATGAAGGGTCGGCGGGGTCAAGTACATTGTGCTCAATTCAGCCTTGTTTCAGCAAACAAACGAGCCAACGTCGTTGGAACGGTCCTTGGCTCAAGATCGTAAGAAATACAGACTTTTTGTAATATATCAGAAATGCAGAAATATTTATATATACCACAGATGCAGAAATAATTAATCATATTTATATTTCTATATATATATTTATCGTGATGAGTGCTGGATGAATAATAAAATTAGTATATATTTGCACTTGTACTATACTATTAGTAATACATATATTGTCCATTTACCCAAATGTGGTTGATTGTTGTGCTGATTTTCGCCAAATCTAGATTCTTTGAACTGACTTTTGTATGAAAAGGTTGTCCAGAATCACACTAATTCGATGTTGATTGGGTCGAAGAGTGGGTTTGATTGGCCACTTGATTCGTGTTCTGGGTTTTGATTGGTCGATCGATTGTCTGCCGAATCGACTTGACAATACAACTTCATGCTGGTAATGTAGAATGGCTCCATGACGAACTCGAACATGGGTCTCTCTGTGCCACCCACGTGTGTGTGCTTACACACGACCCGTTCTTCGTCGACACCATCGACGAGCCCACGATGGGGGTTGGAGGCGTCGACGGCAGTGCCAATAACGAATCGCCAGTGTCTTGGAATGTGCCGTTCGAGGTACTTGACCCTCCATCATGATGCAGTCCTGTGATGCTTCCCATCCTGCAGACGCGGATGCCATATGTCAACATGCTCGCCGAAGCCAAGGTGCGCGGTCTGTTTAGCAGTCACTATCCGTCGACAAACGTGACATCCGTGACCTGGCCGCCCAAGGAACCGACCGACGACGACGTCGCAGGTGACGACGACGGCGGCAGGGGCAGTCCTCCCCCTTCGTGTATGGTCGTGGTGACCAACACGTTTGCGTCGCCACCCCCGCCGGACTCGGATCCGTCGACGGTCAAGCGCGTGTTCCATCTTGTTCAAGTGGATCAAACAGGGTTCCATGTCCAAACGCATCCCGTCGATGTTTAACAACGATATACAGCACACCCATGTTGTTACGCATATTCATAGTCGTAGTATTACACGTGCATGCCGCTGTCGTCGTCTTCTTTGAGCTCTTCGTCGTCGTCCATGAGAGGAGACATCTCGACGTTGGTCATTTCCACCTCTCGGTGCTTGTTGAGCACGTACGACACGCGCTTGAAGTGGGCCAGCCGCATCGCGACTGCGTGCTTGTGCGAAGTGGCCTTGTCAATCCGACGCCGCTGCCACGTGACGAGGAGAAGGAGGCCCGCGAGGACACACACGATGAACCCCACGCTCCGCAGAGCCATCACTTTGGTATGCTCTTCATGCTCCAGCAGCAGGTTCTGCACCACCACGTCAGTCTTGTTGTCGTCCATGACACCCAACGGCAACTTGTCCTCAAAAAGATATTTTGCCCCTGACGTTCGCTATCCGGATGTCGTGTAAAAAGTGAAAAAATACTGTACCGAACGATTCGTTCGATAAAACGACCACCTATTACTGTACTACCTGTTTGCCCGAGTGTAAGTTTACGGTATAATTTATTATATTATACAGTTTATTGCACCTGCACTTTACCACAAATATATTCGATACCTGTATAAATAGATTTTTACAAATATCAATTTACAAACTTATACGTGAGCACAGTCAAAAATGATCATCATTCCCACTGTTTTTCGTGGATAAATTCGTGCAATCACTTTCGGACAGAGGTAGTAATAATTAATCAAGGCCAGAATTATCAATAATAAACGACCACCTAATTAATAAAGGCCCCATGTAAGCTATTTTAATAACTTAGATGGGGCCTTTATTAATTAGGTGGTAGGGAATTATACGTATGTAAAATACGTATAAAATTCCCTCATTAACTGTAAAACAGTTATGTACCACTGTTGTTTTCACCCGAAATACTGTTTCAGGAGCAAGTATTCATGGGAAACAATGTCATTCATGGTGAAAATGTATGCTCGGACCACTCACCTCTTACTATTGATTAAGTGCACCTCAGTGGTCGGATGTGATAATTCCCCCATCGAAACAGTATTTTGGGTCAAAACAACAGTGGAGCTGCTTCAATGAGGGAATTCTTCCCCCATGTACTGTACATTTGATGAACAGTACATTTTCGACTTCATCGCGCTCAACGACTCACGTTATCGACGCACTTAGTACTTCGATGTATGCGCCTACATAGTCAAAGCAACTCGACTGGGACGCTTTCTCCTGTCCGCCTAGCAGTTACATGTCGTACAAACGACGGTTTCAAAATAACTACCCCCATCCCCCGTGCACATATCAATTGCAATGTCAAGACGTGGGGGTGGATAGTTATATATGCTAGTGTATTTGGTTTATTATGCAGCACACGCCCTACAGATGCTACGAATGTAGGTGGCTGTGATCGTAAAACTGCTTGGTGCAGGCGTTGCGGGCGTGCGTGCCGTTGTTCTGGACCTTGTGGGCCCCGACGCCCACGGATTCCGAGCTCAGGACAAAGTGGCCATTGTTGCGTCGAAACTGCGAGTTGCCTGTGCGGAGTGTGTAGAACGTGTCGCGGTGGCTCTTTTGATTGAACTCGGTAGCCTGGGTGCGGCCAATGTCGTACAAAAACTTGGTTTCCTTGAGCCCCTCGGGGAACTGGTGCTTGTCCCCCTCTCCTTCGCCGTGTTCTCCGCCGTCGTCTTCGTCCGGGTGACCTTGGATCCCCTTTTGCGAAATGTGCTCTTCCCTCGCCAGTGTCTCGCGGTACTGCTCCGTGCGGACGTGGCTCATAAATTCATCGCGGCGGCTCGCGTCCTTGGTCCCAAAGCCAGCTTTCCGGTCGGCCGCCGGCTGCGTCTTGAGGTACGCGACGCCGTCTTGCAGAGGGTCGGACGAGTACGTTTTCTTGTCAAAGTACCCGCCGCCGTCGCTCGTGTCCTTGGGCGGCACCGTTTGAAACTGTTTGCTTTTGTGCCGGTCTGACTTGCCCTCGATGATGTGCGGGTCCCGATACGGATCGCCCACACTCAGGTAGCTCTTGGCGATATTCTTGTTGAGCTCCCGCGTACGGTACATGGCGATTGGAGGATTTGCCGAATGAAGCACCAAGTCGAGCAAGAATGTGGACGGTATAAATAGCTCGTGGAGTTGGTTGATTCAAAATTGAGATCCGAACACTAAAGATGGCGATGCCACGTGAAAGGACAGTCTTATCTATCCGAAATCGATCCAAGGTTTCAACGTACTGTACTGTATCGAACAAGGTGGATGGTTCAAGTGGATGGCCTCGGGTATTATCATTTGGCCACCGAAAACCACTGTTTGACGATGTAGTTTTAGTACAAACTTCCACGTAGTTGGTTTGGACCTTCGTTGGGGGGCAAAGTGGGGGCTACAACATCACGTTAACGTATTGTGTGTGTGAGTCATGCTAATGAAGTACTGTATACAGTACTAGTAGTACAAAGGAAGTTCGATGCTGAACGTTCCTTCGTCGTAAGCTTCTTATCTCGCCAATCCCTACAGAAATGAAATCGAACGCAGTTCTTGGGCCCGTCGATGATGTGAACGTTGACTAAGCTTATTCAAAGCCGCCTCAAAATGCCTGGTGGAGGGAATGTATGATAGCCACGCTGTAATGGAATTCCTGACAGTAACGTTACGGCTGGAGTGAAGCTTGGGAGTTTTAGCCCATCAATTTATGCAGCACATGGTTCTTATGGATGTGCCGATTTGGACCAATTTTGCCCGAAAATGCAGTTGACAGTGCACTTGGATTTGCTATTTTTCGTAATGTGATAAAAACATGAAATAGTTTTCGACTGCCGTGGAGTTGTTGTATTGAAAACCAAGATATGGTGTCGTCACCCAGACTGTACTTTTGGCTGCGTGGGTGTTAACCATGCCTCGACCGCCATCTCCCATGCTAGCCCTAGGAGCTTCTGCCGACAGCAATGAGTCGTTCCTTGCCCGTGGCGGCAGTTCCTTTGACGATCCGAATGTGTGGCGTGATGCCGCCATGGAGCACAGCTTCAACACGTACATTGTCGGTGGAACGGCTGCAGTGCCAGATCCGTCCGTCGCTGGTCCTTCTGGCATGTCGCCGTCAAGCCAGCTGCCTCGCGGAAGCATTACGGAACGCCGATCGTTCGTCGAAGTGCGCCAGTCATTAGCAGGCCGGCCAGATATCCGTATTGGCAAGGTTGAGGACGGTGACCGACTGACCAAGACTTCTGGTCGCAAGCGAGTGTGGCCTGGCTGGCTGCTCTTGTTTCTAATGGTCGCTGGCTCGCTCTTTGGCATCACGTGGTTTTCCATCAAGCTGTACAAGGCGGCCCAAAAGCAGCAAGACAAGGCCGAGTTTATCCTCAACCGCACGCCGCGACCCATCACGCCCGCTAAAAGTACGTCCGCGTCAAGGTACATCTGTAGTGAATATGGTTTGTCTTCTAGTCTGCGAACAGCCCGACTTTATCAACGACAAAGGCGTGATCTACGCCACGTACAAGAGCGCGCCGCCCCAGAAGATCGTCATCACGGGCATCAACTGGAGCGGCATGGAGAACTCGGAGGGCGTGCCCCATGGCCTCGCGTTTGGCCAAGCCGCCTTGGTACGTCGTCATTATCATCATCGTATTTCTCTTTCTCCATTTGAAAGGCCTTTTTGGACTATGGCGACAGGACGACATTGTCGAGCGCATGGCCAAGCAAGGCATGACGGCGGTGCGGCTGCCGCTGAATGTGCTCATGATCAACTCGAACGCGGCGCCCAACGTCAAGGACTTTGTGGACCCGGTGGTGAACCCCGAGCTCGTCGTGTCGGACTACATGACCATGATCAAGAAGATCGTCCAGGGGCTGGCCAAGAAGGGCGTGTCGGTGCTGCTGGACATCCACAAACTGGACCCGGCCGTGGAGGGCAAGACGGAAGGGCTGTGGTACAGCGCCACGGTGCCCGCCTCGGCCATCAACCAGGCCATCCAGACGTTGGCCACGGACCTGTGCAACTCCAACTACTACAACGTGCTCGGCGTGGACCTCAAGAACGAGCCACACGACGGCTGCTGGCCCGGGGGCGCGGCTGACGTTTCCTGTTCAGACGCCAAGAATTGGCCCAAGGCCGCCGCCAAGCTGGCCGACACGATGCTCGCGGCATGCCCCAAGTGGATGGCGTTCGTCGAGGGGCTGGCGTCGGCGACGCTGACCAACCACGGATTTGTGACCAAGGCAGGACCCAACACGACACTGTACTACCAGGAGTGGTGGGGTGCGGCGCTGCAGAACGTGACCAAGTACCCCGTGCCCGTGGCGCCGGCCCACAAGAACAAACTCGTGTACGTGCCGCACTTTTACTCACCCAGCGTGTACCCGGCGCCGTACTACTTTGCGTCGTTTGCGAGCGCGGGGGGAGGGGCGGTGGTGGAGGAGTGGCCAACGACCGCCGACGGCAACGCCAGTCTCAAGGCCAATGTGTACCGGGCGCTGGACTTGGCGTTCGGGAACGCCGTCAAGAACATCGAGTCGCCCGTCATGTTTGGCGAGTTTGGCGGGATTTACGGCGCCAAGGACCTCTTCCCGCTCAAAACGTCGTCGCGCGTGATCGAGCTGTTTGTCCAGTACTCGGCCGACCGCAACATGTCGGGGGGGTTCGCGTGGAGTTTGAACCCCGATAGCGTGTACCAGTTCAACGGAGACACGTCCAAGGCTGGCGAGTTCAACTATGGACTGTACGAGAACGACCCCGTGCGTCCGTGGAGCGCCTACAACCAAGACTACTCGGACGCGCTGCTCAAGTTCAAAGGCACCGGCACCATCGACTGCGTCAAGATCGACGCCCCTGGGAACGACACGACGACCACGACTACAGCAGCTCCTTCAGTCGTCGTCCCCACCAGCACGACAGCCCCAGTATCAACAGCAGCCTTGACGACGAAGAAGCCATAACTAGCTGACTTGTCAACCAGCATAGGTTGTGTGTGGTCAAAATATTCGGAACACTCGTCTAAGTTAGTCACAAACGACAGCAAACTGTCAACACTGTAGAGTTTGCTAGAACGAAGGTCAAGGTCAAGCGCACTGACAACTCAACATGTGCCGAGGAATTCCAGGTGAATGCCAAGTCAAGAAAAACGAGTCGGTGCAAGGGGGAGATGTGTTAATGATTAAGTAACGACCTATTCGATAGGATTGGGCTTGACGCGCTTCAGGTCTCGCTCCAGGGAATGGCAAGCTTGCTAATAACGTGGGGAATGAACATGGGCTAGGTATGAGGGGAGGTGTTGGTACCTGAATCCACTGGGTCTTGAGAGTCAAGTCGTTTCGTTTCCGCTCCAGTCCTTGGAGCTTGTCGGCATTCAGCAACTGTTCCTCCTTGCGCTCCATGTTGACTTGGTCCGTCTGCTTCCGCACGTCGTCCAATTCGCTCTTGCATCGTTCGTTGATGCCATGGAGCACGCCTACCTGCAACTTCCATCTGTTGGCGCCGTACTTGTTTTGCATTTCGAGGTTCAAGATCTTGGTTTGCTGGTATTCGATCGCGACTTTGGCGTGATCCGTCGCCTGCTGCCATGCCTCCAGCTGCACTTCTTGGCTCTGCTTCTTCAACTGAGATGGCGCCGGAGGCACCACGCGGTATTTATTTGTGTCGATGGAGGTCAGCTTCACCTTGGCAGCCACTCGTTTCATCTCCCGCGAGTCCAATTTCAAATTCAATGGCGGCAGGTATGCCAAGTAGTGGGCGTCGTCGCACGGCGGCATCTGCGCGAGCTGCTGCTCAATCTGTAGTTTGACAAGCTTCTGCATCGCAACATCTCCAGATGCATAGTTGGTGTCGACGTAGCCCAAGCAATCCACTAAGTGGCGGGTCTCATTCAAGAGGGGGCACGTGAGTTGCAAAGGTTCGCTCATGTTGGTGGTTGTTTCGTGGTGGCGGCCTCACAAAGTTACAAAAATCCGGATACTGCGTTCAAAATCCGGATGGCCCGGTCGCTACAATTATCCGGATCCCTAGCGTAACACACAAACATTGACACACCCTGTTAAGTACGATGTACGTTTGCTTTATCGTACACAGAACCGCACACTCGGATCACATGCATTTCAGCTTTATGGAGTATTGACCCGTACGGAGCTCACGATATATGCTATGTCTAGTGACAATATACTTGGCTTGACACAGATAATGACAAACCTTCAGGCTTGTGGGCTAGGCGGTGTTGCAGCATTGAATTCAAGAAGGAACGCACTTAACAATTTAAGCGATATAATCAGTCCGATTAGGGGGGTCCCCCCACCCCTCAAAAGGCACTTCAACAGGACGAACAGTGGGATCGAAGACGACCGACCAATCAGCGCGATGGATTCAGCTACCCATGACGCCCCCCACAATCAAAGAACCATGGACCAGCCGCCACGCGTGGAGATGATCTTGCGGCTGGACATCATCGTGAACAGCTTCCGCTTCATTGGGAAGACCCCTGTACGTCTCGGATCATATCATGTGTCTTGAATGGATGCGTGACGCGCATGCTTGTAGGAATTCCAACTTGGCTGCATGGCACACTGCGCCACAGCCCGAAGCGCGTCCGAATTGGACCAGGTCGAATGGGTCGTGTACAAGTCGTTCGAGGAGTGCCAGGTATTTGACACACGCATGCGGTCAGGCGCGTTGTCATCATGCATGGCCGCGATCCCGTTTGTGCCGCTGTACAAGACGAAGACGTTCTTTGGCCAGAGCATGAAGCCATCGTTCCTTGCGACACGACAACGCGACCTGCAGGAATACTTCAGTCGGGTCACGGGCATCCCCGGCGTCACGCATTTTCAAACACCCGAGGGTTCCACCGCGCTCGCCGAGTTTGTCCTCGTCCATGCGAATGTGGCGTTCGACAGGCCGCCTTTTCACGCGCCGTCGTCGTCGTCGCTCCGGTCGTCGCTCATCTCACATCGTCCGTCGTCTTTCTCGAATGCGGTGCTTCATTCACAGATGACGACGATGACGCCCATAGACGACCCGCCGACGACGACGATAGGTACCCCGCGCACATCGGACGAATCGTCGGCGTCGTCGTCGGACGACGAGCTCCATCTCACCGAAGCCCAACAAGCGGAACTGCAAGCACTCATCTTTCAACGCATCACCGACCACGCAGGCGCAGATGCCGTCAAGGTGTTCCAGAAACGAGCGAGGCGCTTCGGCAAGGCGGTAGACGGCGCCGTCCCCGCGGCCGGCGCCGACTTTTACACGTTCATGGTGGACACATTTGGGATCGAGTTTTGCCAATGGCTCGTTCCGAGCTTGGCGGCGCTTTTGCCCGACAAACAAAAGCGGCATGCGCTCACCTTGGCCATGACCCCGTCGCCAGCTCCAACTGTTCGACTCCTGCCAGCCACCCATTCCACTTGGCCTTCATGGAGCCACGTGGATGAAGACCCTCCTGCCGTCCCGCCGCCGCCGCCTCATCGGCCGACGACTCGGACGCGTCCGGCTAGTGACGCCGCGATTCCATCGTCCCGAGGCACCAGGACGCCGTCGCGGTCCCGACCGCAGAGTCTGAATGCCAAGCAAGTGCTGGCAAAGGTGCGCGACCTCGTCGACGGCGACGAACGGCGCGTGGAAGAGTTCCGATACATGACCAAGGAACTGCGCGCTCACCGGACGTCGCCGGCGCAATATGCGCAGTTCGTCGTGTATTCGTTTGGCGCGGATGCGTCCAAGGACGTGCTGGTGTCGGTGGCCGACGCAATGGCCGACAATCAGATCCAGGAGGACCTCCATGCCGCCGCCGCCGCCGCTTCTTTGGGGGCGCCGACCCTCGGTGCCTCGTTCCATCAGAAACGCGACCAACTCGCCAGACGCAAGAGCATGGACCGACCGGCCTCGTTCACACGTCGGTCGTCGTCGATATCTAGCTTTGGCGCGTTCGAAGATGAATACATGGTTCGAACAACGAATGGTCCTCGCGGGTACGATCCCCAGGACAATAGTGACGACCACGACGACGACGACGACGAGGCCAAGGATGTGACGTCCGACAAGAAGATCCTCAATCGATTGCGACACCAAGGCGCGGTGAACCTCATGAGCTTCAAAGCGTGAAAATATTTTTTAAATAAGAATAATGTGTCGTTTTTTATGTGGGTTTTGAAATAATATTATTTTATGCAGTTGTCCGGATAGACTGTATCCGGCTGATTTGTTATAACAAGCAGATCATCAGTTTTGCTTTTGGTGAATATAACACTGTACTTTTGCGATGGGACGATTTGATGACTGATGACCAAGACAGCGGGGATTGGAGGATCGACCCGCCACATGGTCCCCATTGTTGCGCAATATGCGCATCCGCGCCTAATAATATGACGAAAATTCGAGCGGTGGACGGATTGGATGGGGCCACGCACACAAAACAATAAGATGGGGATGATGTGTTGACCTGCCTTATTTGGTGAACGTGACAACATTGTATGGGCGAACGTCGAACTTGGTCACGAGCTTGTTGATCACGTACGGGTCGCTCTTGGCAAACGCTTCGACTTGAGCGGCATCTGCAGCGTCAATAACAAACGCGGCGCCGTCGACAGGATCGGCAAACGCACCGCCGAGGATCACTTTGGGGTAGTGTGTGTCAGCCGAGTAGGTCTCGACGTGGTGCAAGTGATCACCACGGAACGGCCCTCGCTTGTCGAGCATCCCGTCCACATAAGTGTAACGCAGCATCCATAGGGGACGCACGGTAGGCGTCGAGAAGAGACGCTTCTGGAGTCGCTGCATCTTGGGTTCGACGTCGGCACTCGTGTCCCTCTCTCTGCGTCTGTGGGGTACGGACGCGGGTGGGGTTGCAGTTGAAGTGGGTACGCGCAAATTGGTTTTTTATTAATATCTTGATAATTGTATGCCTCCTTGAATTCGCCAAATTATTCTGAAAGGCACCATCGTTTATATCAATGGTACCACCGGATTCAAAGATGTGAGCTGACTATTGAGGTCAGTAAAACGAGGGATCTATATAATAAACTCATATTTTCAGCTTGGCAATAGTAAACAATAAATATATTCTAATTTTATTCTCCCTGAGCTTACGAACGTTGGTTCATTCGAGAGTGGGACTGTACCCAACTCAGTTTTTGCTCAAGGTCAGCGAAGCGTTACCGGGCTCGTTTATCCATCCATCTCGACCAAGCCTCGTCACTTGTCACTTGCGGATTCTCCTTGCCCAGTGAACATGGTCTTCCTCCGCCGCGCCCTTCACACCGCCCGCCGCTTCTCCACGGCCACGGTGCCCAAGGCCAAGGCGTCCGACTACACCGGCGGTTTCGACGTGTTCGACCAAGGCCGCCGCATCCTCGTGACGGGGGGCACCGGCCAAATCGGTGGGATCATGGTGTTGCTATGGTCGCCATATTCATGTGGGTGAACGGTCGTTAGGCATGGAATTGGTGCCGTATTTGCGCAACTTGCACGGTCGCGACGCCGTGATCAACTCGGACATCAAGATGGCCAGCAAGGCCGAGCAAAAGTCCGGACCGTTTGTCTACTGCGACGTCCTCAACGCCGACGGGTATGTCCATGCATCCGTTTCGTCATCATGAATCTCCCTCATCGAAATGCATTATCATACACGTGCATATAATGGCGCTGCAACCCGATTCGCTACCTGCATGAACTCAAGTGGTGGTCGTCGTCTAGGTTAGCGCGCATTGTGCTTGAAAATGGCATCGACACCATTATCCACAACGCTTCCCTCTTGTCTGCCATCGGCGAGAAGAACCCTCAACTGGCCCTTAAGGTCAACACCCGCGGGTTGGAAAACGTGTTGGAGCTCGCTCGCCTCAACAACCTCCGAGTGTTTGCTCCGTCCACTATCGTACGTCCATGCATTGTTATTCGTGGGGTACCTAGTACCTAATTATTGTAACGTTGACGTCCCTGATGTCAATGCCGAGTACCTAATCCTTCCATGAAGGTTCAATGTTTAGTACCTAGTACCTAATTATTGTGACATTGACGTCCCTCATAATGTGATGCTAGTACCGAGTACCTATTCCTTTCAATAACTAATAAACCCTTGATATGTTTCTAGGCGGTGTACGGCCCTTCAACACCGCAAGACAACACGCCAGACATTACCGTCATGCGCCCCACGACCATGTACGGCATCACTAAAGTGCATTTGGAGCTCTTGGGCGAGTACTACCACGACAAGTTTGGCGTGGACTTTCGGTCGATTCGGTACCCCGGCATCATCTCGTCGGAAGCGTGGCCCGGTGGAGGAACGACGGATTACGCCGTCGAAATCTTTTACGAAGCGCTCAAGAAGGGCAGCTACAAGTGCTTTTTGGGCCCCAAGACGTGCCTCCCCATGATGTACATGCCCGACTGCCTCCGCGCCACCAACGAGTTGCTCGAAGCACCGTCCGAGTTGCTCAAGCAACGCGTGTACAACGTCACGGCGCAAGCGTTCACGCCCGAGCAACTCGCCGAATCGATCCGCAAGGTGATCCCGTCGTTTGAGATTACGTACGAACCAGACTTCCGCCAAGCGATCGCCGACACGTGGCCGCGGTCCCTGGACGATTCCCTTGCCCGTGAACACTGGGGCTGGAAGGAACAGTACGACTTGGACTCGATGGTCGCACACATGCTGGAAGCGTTGGACGCCAAGCTCAAGAAGCTCGGCCACCTGTAAGGATGGATCCCAGCGACCTTACAGCGTTGACAATAACGAGATATAGAGACCACACCATATACGTACGTTTTTTGTTTTCAAATAGGCACACTATATTTCGTGGATATATGCGGGGAAGTTCCATGGATGAATGCAAAAGGTTGAAGTGTGAACTGCAAACATGACGAAATACTGTCAAATATAACAGCAGCACAAATCTTGCGAATAATATAGAGAGTTTTCAGGAACCAATACGAAGAACCAATGCGAAAGCGAAGTTGCCATAGAAAGTCAATAAGTACTTATGTGCATTTTCATGAAGGGTAACATTCTACGAAGTGCTAATGCTAATGCTAACGTTACATCAGCATCGACAGGAAAAGTCGTCCATCTAGCATCACGAGGAAGTCGACTATTTCTTTTTAAGGGCGTCGGCGCATTCGCTACACACAGGCATCCATTTTGACGCGGCACACTTGGTCACTGCGGGTTGGGACTCACACGTCGAGCACATGGGCACGTCGGAGCTTTGCTTGACAACCGGCTTGGGCGGGGCAAACGCGGCCTGGTTCGCGGCGCTGTCTTCCGACAGCATGGCGCTTCGCTCGCGCTCCTCCTTGTACGCCCACACGCGCTCTTTCTGAGCCTGCCACGCCGCTGCGGCTTCTTTCTTCGTCGTGGCACGATCATTAGCCACACGGACCCCCAGTGCATCGTAGTCGCCTTCGATGCGACCCAAGATCCAGCGAAGCCCGCCTTCGAGTCGATCGTCGACAAGGTTGCCGTTGGCTTTGGCCTTGGTGACGCTCTGCAGCACTTTCGTGTTCACATACGACGCCACTTGCAGTTTCTGGCCGAATTCTGCCTCGCTTAGGGCCTGATCGCAGTCCATTTTGTTGGCGTAGCTACAGCAAACGTAGAATGAAGTCAGCAAATGTGAGAGACATAGACACCAATGGAACTGGTGGGGATCATGAGTATGTATGCCCAGTACATGAGCAAGGGCTTGCCACGAAGCATGGGATGTGCCATGGCCACTTCCAAGTGCTTGGATGCTTCTTGTATCCGATCGGCGTCCGACGCGTCCACCATGTAAATCACACCGTGCGCCTGCATCGTTGGTTTTGTGATTGAAGATCAAGAGTCTACATGACATGGAGGATACAGTAATCGAATGACGTACATCTGCAAAGTACTCTTTCCACAAGGCGCGAATGGTCGGACCGCCACCCAAGTCGTAGAACGTGGCCGATCCGTTGGCAAGTTGAAACGTCACCGACGAGAACCCTGCCGTGGGGGGAATGTCCTTGTCCAAATCTATGTGGACGACATGACAATCTTTACATTCCAAACCATTTCATGGAAATCACCAACAGGCAGCAAACACATACCTCCCTGCAGCGTCGATAGAAACGTCGACTTGCCAGCCCCATCGAGGCCCAGCATCAAAAGCACAGGTTTGATCTCACGGCGAGGAATCTTGGATTGCTCGGTATTGTCTTCGGCCTCGGGTTGGTCTTGGGGGCGGCGGAGTAAGATCGGGTGAATATGCTCTTCCACTTTGCCATTGTCGTATCGAATCGTGCACAACCCACCGTCGTCGATGCTGTCCACTACCCCTGGAAGGTATTTGGGTCGACCTTTGAACCGACAGTCGACTCGATCGCCCACGCGGAACTTAGGCGTCCCGAGGTCGAACGATGTAGCAGAGGGATCGTGATGCTGTTTGTTTAAGAGCCGCGTCTGAACAATGTCGCGCAAGAATTCTAAGCAGTGTCACATGCTTGTCGAGTGCCTCCGTGCTCATTATGTACCTTTGGCGTTGGAGGGTTTGTCCTGTAGAATGCGCTGGGTGAGATCGTCCATGACTGGCAACACCGACGAAGACATGAATTCCACCATGCGGTGTCGCCTTGCCTTGGCAGACTTGGTTGTCGCATCGCCCACATGTTTCATGCTTCCCAGTGCTGCACCATCAAGGAACTTTGCGATGAAATCGTACATGGACGGCGGCTGATGTAGCAACAGTGCTTCGATGAGCGGCATGAGCAGCGGGTCGACCTGCGTACGAAGGTACTCATGCTCTTGATCGACGTGCTGTCGACCTATGTCTACATGTCGAGTGAGATGGAATTCGTTCTTTTAGTACGGCCGTCATCATCTTACAGGCAGCTGTGCTGGCCATGTCAACTAAGTCCTTGGCGGCGGCGATAGAGGTGGGCTTGGTGTTCGCGGGAGAGCAGGAAAAAGTAGCAGTTCTAAAAATATAGACCAATCACATCCGTTCGATTGACCAACGGCTATTCCGACCAATGGCATCACAGGAAAGATCTTAGTTGGTTTGTGCCGGTTCCATAATTTGTCAGTGCGACGTCGGCCATGATGGAGCTGAAGCGAGGAATTCTGAGAGTTCATGGCACATTTCTGGTAAGTCAAGGATGCCAGGTCCATGCTGCCTGAATCCCTCTTGACGTGCCTACTTGCAGTGGCGCGAGAGGGAAGTCGTCGTGACGCAGGGCCAAGTTGCAATCTATCGACGGTCCCATCGCACGCTCAAGTCCAAGGTATGTCCATCGGTGCTTCAACCCGTTTGTAATTTCAATGACTTAACACGTAGATCAATCTGTGGGACCCGCATGTCCACATTGGGTTTATCGCCAATGAATCGACGCTCACCATCACCGCCCACCACCACGATGAGCTGATCCTCGACTGCCATACGCCCGCCGACCGCGATGTATGGCTTGCCGTCCTGTACTCTGCCCAAGCCAACCCCCCATTCGCCGCATCTACTGTGTGTCAGGTCGCCGACGCCGATTCGGACACGGATTCCGACTTTGAATCGTCTGGGACTACGGATGACAGCACGACCGAGGGCACGTTGGCCGCGTTTCAAAACGTCCGGTCCTCCATCATATTTGACGTGAGCCAGCTCACGCGCGACGAAATCAACCGCGTGCTGCTGCCCACCACCCAATCCCTTGATGCGGCTCTCGCCGTCGCATCCCCCACTCTAGCCCCATCCTTCCCGTCCAAACCACAAGGTGTCGCCGCCCCCTTCTCGTCCTCCAAGCACCTCGTGGCGCTGGCTAGCTACATTGAGCACACCGAAAATGGAGGTCGCGTTGTGCTTTTGCATTGGGATGTTATCACGGACATGTGTTTGGGTGTGACGTTGCCCGCTCTTCTCGTCGTTCTCGCCGACCGGCAAAGCATTCGCGTGTCAGCCACCAGCGGTGTCCTTACCCACCGCAAGCCCAGCCTCACACACAAGACCAACGTGTCAGAGTTTGTTCGAGACCTGCTGTTCCATCCTCTGTACTGCCAGCGCCTGCGCGCGTGCGAAGCGGCGTGCTTGGCGGTGATCGACGCCCGGTTTCCGCAGTGCCGACTGCGGCGCTTTAGCCACACGGACGACGACCTGCCGTCCACCCTCAAGTCCTCCGTCACGTCCATTCCGTCGCTCGTCCGCAAGCACAGCGTGCCGCACACGTTGTCGTCGTCAACGTTGTTGCTGTCATCCGATTGGTCGTCCGAGCGCAAGAAGCGCAATTCGTTCCCAAGCATCGTCATGTCTGGCATTTCGTTGGCCCAGTTGCAACCGACCACCGTCATGAATTCGTTCGCGACGGTGCCGCCCCTGCGCACGGTCATGGCCACGTACAAGCTGACGCCATTGGCGTTTGCGCAGCAGTGTACACTGTTCCACCATGGACAGCTCACGGCGTTGCCATTGTGGAGTTTTCTGTCGCCCGGCCATTTCCAAAAGGACATCAGCGATAGCTTCAACCGCCTTACGACGTACTTAGTGTGGTCGATTCTGGTCGAAGAGTCGCCGACCGACCGCGCGGACGCCATCGACGCCGTCACGGCCGTCGCGATGGCATCAAGTGCCAAGTTCGTCAACAACTTCCACCTCGTTATGGCGTGCATTGGGTGTTTGGGCGACACGCCCCTAATGCCGTCGAGACTTCCGCTGACGTGGAAGCGCGTCAAGTCCAAGACCAAGGCGCATCTGTACGAACTACGGTCCTTATGTGATTACGCCGGCGGGTTCGACACCCTAAGGCGCAAGCAGTCGCTTATCTCGGCCACGTGTCCGTCGCTGCCGTTCCTCGGCATCGTCGGCGCCGCCCTCGAACGTCTCAAGTCGTCTCCGTATGTGGTGCCTAGTACCACGACGAGTACTACTACTACGGCTAGTAGTACTGCTACGGCTACTACCAGCAGCGGGGACCATCACCTCGACATGGAACGCATGGAACGCCAGTACCAAACCCTACATGTGGTCGAGAACGCCATGACGACCGCGTACCCCCTTGTGGCGCAAAGTGACGTGCAACACCTTTTGGGCACGTTGCCCAAGCAGTTGCAGTTTGCCACTCCCAAGTTGCTGCACATGCGGTCGTTGCAGTTGCAGCACAGCGAGACGCAGAGCTTGCGGTCGTCTGCGGCCGCCGCCTTGTTCTCGAGCAACTCAAGCAACTACGAGTCGACCCCGGCAAGTTCGAACGGAGCGCCGCAAGCCACAACGACGGGCAGCGCCATGCGACGCGTGTCCCTGACGTCGGAAAGCGGCCGCGTGCTGTCGTTCCGGGCGAGCTGCGTGCTGTGGCACTGCGTGGCCAAACCGGAGGACCGGCTCAAGGTGCTGGTCGAAGCCCTCTTCGCAGACGACAAGTCGAGTCCGGCGCGGCTCGCGGCGACCCTCCACCGAGACGTCAAGACGTGCGCGTTCTCGTCGTCGTCGGCGGCCATGTGCCTGCAGGTGACTCAGGGCCTCGACGCCATCTTCCGGACGGTGGTGGACACGAGCGGCGGCGAGTGCGTCGAAGTAACTGGATGGGAGGACCCGAACGAGTGGCAACCCAAGCTGTACGAGAGTATCGTGGACGTGGTGTTTTCGCCCATGGCCCAGATCGTGCAAGTGAAGCTCCAGGCAGAGTACAAGGAACAGGACGGGCACGTGCGAAGGCGGCTGCAGGGCCAGGCCACTGACACCCTCGTGCACTATACCATGTTCAACCCGCTCAACCAGCTGGTGCTCCAAGGACAGACGCCCGTCGCGCTGCTGCGCATGCTGGCGTCGGTGGTCCAAGAGCTCAACGCCACTGAAGCTATCGCGCGGAAGCAGTTCCGGACGCTGCTCGCGAATAGCACGGCCATAACCCCCCAGAGTGCGATGGAGTTTATTTCGTCTACGATCGACCTCACCAAGTGCTCTCTGGATCTCGTGCGCGGCATCGACCTCTTGAAAAAGGCCGTGCAAGGCTCATCGCAGTAGGAGTGTCAGACGCTCCCTGGATATTATTTATTTATTGGTAGTACTTTTATTAAACTTGGAATATGGAAAATATATTTGTCCAAAGTTTTTTTCTGTGATACTGTAGGACAGAACTATTTTAATAGTACTGCCCTATTAGTATACTTTTAATTGTACTATTTTAATAGTACAATAAAGTTTTCGCTACTTTAATAGTATTAAAATAACTTACTAGTTAACGTTACTGTTACTAATAGTAAGAAAGTTAACTAGTATACTCTCATAATGAATAACCCTGTGGAACTCGATCTGTCGATCTTCGTCCCCAAAGTCGGGATCAGTGTCTTGGCAAGATGAGCGACAAGCCTGCGGTGGTGATTGACAATGGGACAGGGTGAGTAGACGCTGCCAACTTGAGGAGGACGTTCATGAGGACATCTCTCATGGACGTGGCTAGGTTTACCAAGATGGGGTATGCGGGCAACGCCGAGCCCAGCTACATCATCCCGTCAACGATTGCGGTCGGTGCGGACAACAACGCGAGCGGTGGTCGGACTGGCGGTGGCCGCGTGGGTCAAAGCCAGGGAATCGATGACTTGGACTTCCACATTGGCAATGCTGCGTTCGAGAACTCGTCTACGCATCAATTGAACTACCCCATTAAGCAAGGCATCATCGACAACTGGGACAACATGGAAAAGCTGTGGCAGCGCTGCTTGTTCCAGCATTTGCGGTGCGAGCCCGAAGAGCACTACATGCTTCTGGTAAGTCCACGCTTCCACTCTCACGATATCTCATGACGACACCCGTTTCTCCTCATCCGACAGACAGAGCCACCCCTCAACCCACCCGAGAACCGCGAAGCCACGGCGGAAATCATGTTTGAAACGTTCAACGTGCCTGGGTTGTACATAGCCGTACAAGCCGTGCTGGCGTTGTATGCGTCTTGGCCCAAAGTCAAGGTACAGACCACACACACTCCTATTCATTTGTACTTTCAAACCTCCTCATCCTTTCTCCATGTAGGACCCGTCGTTGCGGTCGCTGACGGGTACTGTGATTGATTCTGGTGACGGCGTGACCCATGTGATCCCCGTGGCCGACGGGTACGTGATCGGAAGCTGCATCAGCCATGTGCCGCTGGCCGGGCGCGACATCACGTCGTTCATTCAACGCATGATGCGTGACCGCGGCGAAGTCGTGCCGCCCGAGGAGGCGCTCGAAGTGGCGCGCAAGGTCAAGGAGATGCACAGCTACGTGTGTCCGGATATTGTCAAGGAGTTCAAAAAGTACGACGCCAACCCAGCCAAGTACATTGTACCGTACACTGACATCCATCCGCGGACCAAGCAGCCGTGGACCGTTGACATTGGGTATGTCGCATGTATATTCCCTTGATTTGCTTGTCCTGGTCGTCCGTTCGTGTTGATCCATTGAGCTTATGTCGACTTTGTTGGGTAGGTACGAGCGATTTCTAGCCCCCGAGATCTTCTTCAACCCCGAGATCTTCTCCACCGATTTTACGACGCCGCTGCCCAACGTCGTCGACCAAGCGATCCTCAAGTGCCCCATCGACTGCCGCCGGGGCCTGTACAAGAACATTGTGCTTTCGGGGGGGTCGACCATGTTCAAGGACTTTGGCCGCCGCCTCCAGCGCGACGTCAAGCGCCTCGTGGACGACCGACAGCAAGCCAACCTGAACTTGCACTCCAAGTTCGCCAAGCAGCACGCCGAAGAGCTCGATGTGAACGTGATCAGCCATCGCATGCAGCGCTTCGCCGTCTGGTTTGGCGGGAGCATGGTCGCGTCCACACCCGAGTTCCACCGCGTGTGCCACACCAAGGCCCAGTACGACGAGGAAGGCCCGCGCATCGCCCGACACAACCCCGTCTTCGCCGCCACCATGTAGATAGAAACGACGTTGTTGTCGTTGCCGTTGTTCATGGGGTAGAAGGAGTTGGCGTACATACTACGACCGACCAATCGTGTGGGTGGTTGTATATGAAAGCTGAACCACCGAGGTCGCTACCGTTAGGCAAATACTATGACCCAAGGACGAAATCCAATGCAAACTACGTCTAGTTCAGTTGTAGTACCTGTTATTACTGAACAAGGAGAATAGTATTGCAATGGCAGCCATGCTACAGAAGTGGGCGTGGCGTAGGTAGGACTGCAATGTGACAGCGTGAGGTATACTGGGGTGTGTGTGTCATATGTGACGAAGGCAAGGAATGTCTATCTCATTTCCTCGACAAGAATGTTCAGCCTGTGGTTTACAACGTTACACACACGAACGTCAACCCATGTTTCGGTTACGGCAGTTTCATCACCCCCCATCGTCGATACTTCCACGATCGTAGTCGCGATGGAATCGATCGAGCAAAAGCTGTGGCTGCGACGGTATAAACGATTCGATCCGTTCTACGAAGCGCTGCTGCGGTCGCCACCGTCCATGCTCGCAATGGCCACTGGCAAAATCTCGATTGGATCGCCGACATTTCCGTTAACCAAGGCATACATTACGTCAGCGACCGCAGAGGTTCCTCCCACCAGCGACAACGTGCCTCGCACCGTGGACGCTCTTCTTGGCCTGCAGCAACCGGACGGCCGGTGGAAACTCGACGCCGCCTTCCTCCACACCATGCACCACCTCGTGCCGCCATGTCCCAGTGGTGTGGGGGCAGCCATGTGGGCCACTGCGTGTGCGGTGGCAGCGCTTCGGCGGCAACATGAAGAATTCGACAAGCTCGAACATCCTTGCGAGCGAGGGCTCACACAAGTGGACAGCCAAGTCTTTGAATGGGCCAAGCATCAGCTGCCGTCCATCCCGCTTGAAGGCAACCCTGGGGCAAGCTGACTCCATGAATGTACGGCTGCTCCACATCGATTGAACCGATCTCGTAGGCGCCGCCCAGCGAAGACGCCAGCGACGACGACTTGGCACCGAACAACATGCCGTCGACTTCTCTCATCTCAACGAAAAAACGACGCTCGATATTTGAGCTTGATGTAGCGAGCGCCCAGATGGTCCGGCAGCTGGACCACGCCAGTGCCACTGCGGTGGCGCACGGCCTCCAGCGAGAGTTTTCACCCAAAATTGACACGTCCAAACGTCCATTTCAGGTGCGTTGGAGCATCCACTCGTGCATGACTTGACTGATGGTGCGTAGGTGGGAGACACCGTCGAGTGCTGCTGGCGGCGTCCGCTGCCATCCTCCAATACCCCGGCGCGGCTGGACACGTGGCATCCAGCCAGAGTGCGTTTCCATCGTTTCAGGCCAATGTTTGATTGCTATATCCTATCGAAAACGGCGTTTCACCATATGTTGTTGGTAGATTGCGCACGTGTATACTGACAACGTCCATGGCATGGCGGACGTAGTGTATCAAGACAAGCGAAAGGAAAAGCAACGTCGAGTCCCCAAGAACTGCATCCGTCGACCGAATTCCGTCGCCCCCTCGCGCTCCCAAGTGCTCGGCGACCTGCACAAACGTTGGGTGTTAGAACCGTTGCCTTTAAATGCAGAGCTCGATCGCCTCGCCGAGGTGCGCCCCCCGGCTAAAGAAAGCAACACCTCCAACAACTTATCCAGTCACCTTGGTTGTTCTAGATCATGAGTCATGACACGGTGTACTTGCCTGCATGGCGAGATGTCACGGCACAAGCCGCCCCGACGAGCCCCCATCATGCTGCCAACCATCCCCTTCATCTTCGAACGTCGTCGTCGCTCAATCAAATCCGAGCATCATCCAGTCCTGTGAAGTCCCCCGTCCCCCTTTCTCCTGCTGCACAAGTCCATGCCGTCGACAGCGCTTCGTCTATGACCAGTATGCCGTTACCCCATGACGCGGTGATCGAAGCCATCTTGGCCTACGAGAAATACATCGCAAAACTCCCCAAAGTGCTACGTCCGTGCCGCCACTTGTACAAGTACAACATACTCGAAGTAGACAAATATGCAGCCGTTCTGAAAATCGTCGTGTAGGACTGCGCGGTTGTTTGGCGACCGAATTCACGCGTTCGATGCATGGATGCCCGTGGCCATCGAACTGGTAGCCGCCACCGCCACGGTCGTCGAGCTCGTGTACGCGCTGGAGCAGTCAATCCAAGCAGCCCCAATGACTACTGACGGTCCAATTCGACCTGTGTTTACGCCGTTTCTATGGCTCGGCCGGTCGTTCTTGACCTCGGTACGGTTGGTTGTCGTTGGGTACGTTCAAGCGCGATGCTTCCTGTCGATTAGGTCGCGAACGCACTAAACGCGCTTGGCGATTGCGCCGAATTGGTACATCCCAATGGACGGAATAGTATTGTCTCTAGTAGATGACTTGTGATGTTTTTGGCGGCATCGTCATGTAGCAAGACTGGTATGGTCGGGACTTTCACTTTAAAATGAATCCGTTCCTGGTCACGGTGCCGCTGCACCTCAAGACGCACGCGATTCAATGCGCCGTCACGCCCAATACGTGGTGGCCAGAGCTACACTTCCCCCCTGCCTTGCGACATCGGGTGGAGCGTGCCGAAGTGGTATGCTTGTATTTTTCATCAAATGTGTGCAAATACATTATTGTCGCAAGGAGGCTGAGTGGTCGTGTAGATGTTAATGCAGCACTTGAGCATGAGCAGCAGCATTCGACGATGACGCGTCCAAGCCAGCGCCGCCACCGCGAACAGTCATGCGAATGATTTGCTTGATGTACTTTCGATCGAGCGCCATGTCGTGCATAGGCGAGTTCATATAATAACTCGCTTCGATGGTCCCTCTCGCCTTTGTCGCGTTGGTTGTGGCCCACGTTGGCTTGGAGTCCATTGCTCTGGCTTCGTCCTACCAGCGTACGTTCCGTGAGGGGATTTGAGGGGAGTAGTGGTAATCGAATGGTCATATGGTCGAGTTCTTAATGCAGACAGCCAACTTTGCTTGATTGTTGTCATCTACGCACCACAAGCGCTTGTTGGGCAGGAGACAATACGCGGTCTTCGCGGCTGTGGATGCCAGTGGGGTAGTCGTAGTCTTTGGGTCTGGCAATGCGCGACTTGGCTTCACTGGCGCTCCCCGCGTTAAACACCTACATCAGAGGAGGGGGTCCTGACTACAATAGCCATGGGGGGAATATCATTCGTACCGGTCGGGGGCGACGGTTGGGGGCTGGTCGTGGGCTGGCGTCGTCGAATCCTTCACTGTCACGGACATCCCTGGCCTTCGTGTGCTTGCACAATACTGCGCCGCGAAACTCGTTTAGCATGGATTTGGGGCCCAAAAGGGCTTGAAACTACGAGCACAAATTGCTTGAGAATCCGAATAACGTTATGTATGGAAAACGCTCCGGCTACCACCCCTAACCTGTATACGCAAAGCCTGCAACAACATACCGATGCGTCTGCATCCCCCACCCGACTCTGTATTCGCTCCATCCGCAACGACTGCCTTGTCGACCGATGAGCATTAGTTTCTGCATTGTCCATCGCGTCCTGCAGCAAGATGATATTGTCCCCAGACGAAGTCACTTGCGAGAGCGCAGGAAAGTGCCGGATCTTGACGAATTGCGCAGCATGGGCATCTTTGTACACGCGCCGCTCGCGCTCCTCGATGCGGGTTCCGCTGGAAGCATGAGACGCCATGAGAACAATCGCCTAAGAAGCTGCAGCGACAACCAACCAACGGCGACGAGCGAGCCATACGTGTATCATCTGGTGGGCTATCTTTACGACGAAAACGCCCAAGATGAGAAAGACACGGGGGTTGCAGCTATTTGCGGCGTGCAATGGCGACGCAAGATGGGGACATCATCTGATTTGCAGCGCTATATATATACATGCCGTAGGCTCCATCCACAAACCAAATAGCATTTTCGTTTTCGTCCATCCACAAGTACACGGACTATGGGAGCTGCTGGATCCGTTCAAGACGCGTCGTACGATGCTACCAAGTTTGCTCAGTCCAAGGCCATCATGGAGCTGGCCGTCGATGATGCTGAAAAGTTCGCCAAGCTCAAGGAAGTGTGGAACGTAAGCAAGAATAGCGTCACGAAAGAACCCTCACCCGAGCCCCAACCTGCGACAGCCAAGGAAGCAAAGGAAGCTCCACAGGAACCAAAGGAGACGACAGCACCCAAGGAAGCCCCGAAGGAAGCCCCCGCTTCTAGCGACGCCAAGGAGGCCCTTAAGGAAGCTGCGAAAGATGCGCCCAAAGAGGCAGCTAAAGAGGCCCCCAAGGAGGCGGCAACAGAAGCCGCAAAGGAGGCCCCCAAAGAAGCTGCCAAGGAAGCGCCTAAGGATGCCCCCAAGGAGGTGGCAAAAGATAGTCAGCCACCAAAGGGCGCGGCTGCAGAGGAAATCAAAGTTGCTGCCCCTAAGTAATATCTATGATTGTGTTATAGATCAAAACCACAACTCCCTTTGCTATCACCCCCAAGAAAAATATCCGGCGTCCGCACGCGCCCCTTTTTCGCGTAACTGCAATAAGAAAACGGCTGTGATCTTTTGTATCAAATCCACCGCAGTCTTGGTGGCGTTAAATTAAATTGGCATATTGCATGGAAGAGCCTCCGTCTGCGCCGCCTCGCAGCAACTTGCTGGCACCCCTGGTGCTGCCTGTGGTTGTGCCCAGGCCCGAGGCGCCACAAGGTCGGCTGGATGTCGAAGGTGACCAGGTGGTGTATATCCTACCCAAAATGGTATCTCCTTGGAAGTTCCGGAACGAAGTGATGTCGGAAGCAGTCATTTGCGACGAATACGAGCGCATGGCAGCGTTCATCGAAGCGTACCAGGCCCGTGAAGAGGCCTCGGCACGCCACCGACCGCTTCAAAAATCGGCTCCCCTTGGGAGTCCGACGTTTCGACAGGTGCTCCTGCCGCCGCTCCCCGACCCAACGTCCCTCGACCCCCAGCTTCGTGTGCAAGTCCACCGCCACCCGCTGCCCCGCTTCATTCCCGGCACGATCGAGCAAAAGGAGGCTTTTTGGGATGTCATGGACGCCTACCACCGCCACCGCGCGGCCAAATTGGCTCGCGACCGCAAGCTTGGTGTATGCGTGTACGACTTTAATCAGGTCGCCGCGGGTCGACCCGAGGTTCGTACAGCGTTTTTGTATAAGTGCACATTGCACTTGAGTATCCGAATGCAAATGTGTGACAATAGATTATTTCGTGGCACTTGTAGGTACTGGAGACTCGACATGCTGAATGGGTGCGCCGACGCATTGTCTTAGACGACGAATGTGCGGAAAACCGGCGGCTGCGTCAAGACGAAGCTGACTTGCACGTTCAGGAAACGACCACCGCGGCCCGCATCGACAGGCGGCATCGGCAGCACGCAGACGCCGTCCACCGTGCCGACGTTCGACGTGTACTTCCCATGGTTCTGGCGGCCGCAGCGGGCCAATGGTTCCGGCACACGATGTGGGAGACGTGGCAATCCCACCGCTGCCAACGAATCGTCCGCCAATGTGCGATGCGGTGGCGTCACCACACGCTCGTCCACATCGAGTGCACCCGCCATGCCACTCTGTTGTGCCACTGGCTGCACGAAAGTGTCAAGGTCAAGTCATTGGCGCACAAGGTCTTTTACGCGCTTCGGGTGTACCTCCGGCGTGTCACACTGATTCAATCGTTCTGGCGGCAAAAGATCGCCATTCGAACTGTACAGGTCAAGCGGCTAGACGCACAGTGGACGACGTTTGTCAACACCCCCGATGCCACCCACGACCCAGCCAAGGTTCGTACAAGGAGACAAGTTGGGAGGACAGAGACAAGGATGATATGTGTCAATCGATTGAATGATATTGTTGGTTGACGGATGGTGTTGACGGATGGTGACGTAGCGCCAGCGCAGGGCAGGGCCTCTCAAGTTTCCCTTCCCAGAGATTGACCCAGTGATTCGCCGCCAAGTGCTGTACGAGGCGTGGATCGACCACGAACGGCAACATCGCGAGCAGTTTCGAGCGCTAGAGGTATAATATTTGTCCTTGGAATGCGCGGCGTTTTCGTCAACTAAGCTTCCGACTGACTAGCCACTATTCATGACCTTGACGCTTGTAGGCGGACCTGCTGCCGCACTTGATTCAGTCCCTGCAAGGCCTCCATCCCAACAAATCGCGATCGGAGGTGCGCGCCATCGCAGCCCGGCATTTCGCGCTTGGGTCTGTCCACTCGACGCTCCAGGGCATCCCAGGGGCACTGGCGCCCCCCACCCCCCCCTCCCATCATGCCACTGCTTGCAACGAGTTGTTTGCGATGCTGCCTCTCGTGACGAAAGCGTATCAAGTGCAAAACCCAAGCTACTTTCAAATGGCAGCGACCGCTGAAGCCGTCGTTATACAAGCAAACGAACCTCCCGACATGAAACAGAAGGGTCAGCCGAGCAGTCGCACTCGCGTCAAGAAAGGATCGTGAGATCGTAGCGAGGTGTGCAGTTAGTAGTTGATGTGTTAATCTGACGTAGCAGCAGGAACGATGGTTACTACATGTTGTTGGCGTTGACGTTGCCCAGCTGCTCGACGGTCTGGATGTCGCTCTCGCCTTCATGGGAGGTCGTGATCTCCTCCACGGCGCCGATCACAACGTTCTGGTAGCTCTCGAACGGGTCGACCTTTTCGCTCAAGAACGCTTCGAGGATGTGCATGAGGAAGAAGCCCACGATGTTGGACCACGCGGCGCCCACGTCTGGGGACGCGTACTCGCCGAGCCAGTACATCATGACCTCGATCAACGTGCTCGTGTACTGGGCAAAGTGGTGGGGTCGGAGGCTAGTAAACGTGCGGTGGCGGTGGCCCAAAAAGTGGCAGCGGTTGATCACGCGTCGTTGGTCGTCGCTGCTGCTCTTGAGCATGAACGTGACGGCTTTGATGATCACTTCGCTTCGTTTCGCAATGTCCGGGAACACGTCTTCTAGGGTAAAGTCGCGCTGGAAGAGACGGAAGAAGAACTCGTCGTAGAAGAGCACGATGCCCGACTTGCCGTATTGCCGCATGCGGTCCGTGTTGGCCGTCACGATGAGCTTCCATGTCTTGGTGCAGTCGGTCAAGTACGCGACGTTCAAGATCGGTCGGATCGGAAGGTTCGGAGGTAGGTAATGCTGGACGCAGTCGGATGCGGCCAGGCCGTACGTAAACTCGCGGTAGAGCACCTCCTCCACGACAATCTTCTTCTCCTTCGATGGCTTCCCACCCATAATGGACAGCCGCGTGTGTATGTGTCGAAGTCTCGATGTGTCGTTTCGCAAATCGGCTTGATCTGAAGGAACGTTACTTTTTCGACGGATTTATAGCAATATTTCGGAAATATTTACAACAAATTTGTCGAAAATTCAACTACTATTAATAGTACTATTAATAGTATTAATAGTACCGGTATTGTGCTTTGCACTTGTTTCGGCGTCGATTGTTTTGCGTGGCTAATAGAGTGGTACTTCTGCTGTAACTGTGTTAAATAAATACCTGGTATTTTAGCTAATTCACTGGGGTTTTATAAATACCACATAACTCTGAGCAATAACAATCACATGTGATGCTGAAGTGACCAAAACACGTTGGCTATTAATTCCATCGCGTAGTACACTCTACCTGCATGTACTATGCGATGGAACAAGAAGATGGCGTGGTTTTCTACGATGTGGCACCATACGTACATCACTGTACGGTAGAACTCCGGCGCATGTCCTCGCTGTGTGTCATTTGTAATATCAAAAGTTGTTCATGGTGACCAGTGAATTGTGCAACTTAGTCCCGAGAATAGCAGATATAACTTCGATTTGCACTTTTCAAATGTGCAAAAGCGAGGGAGTTGCATAAATGACCTCCCTATAATTACATTCAGTAACGCTAAATTACGGTACGGATTATCTAAAACCCTGGGTTGATGTAAGTTTACAAACTATTATGGTGTGAATAGCCAAAACGAGTGAAAAGCACAATACTTGGAGAGAAATAATATTTCGTGTATTTTCTGTTTTCTGACCATCCGGATTCGAACCTGAACGTATCCGGTTCATCGTATTCTTCCAACCCACTTCATAAACGAGGATGGGTGACCGGTCGGTGAACGTGGCTGACCAGGTATCCGGTAGCATGTACCAGAAGACAGAGACGACGCTGGATGAGCCAGTGTCCGAGACAATTGTACGTAGGCCATACGGGCGGCATGGCAGCATCATCGTCTGACTATTGCTTAGCTGCGGGATGTTCGCCTTGTCGGGTCCAAGCTCAAGGTGGTGCTGATGCCCAAGAATACGTCCGACGAAACCCTGCATGCGTTGCGTGACTGGGACCTGTGGGGTCCCCTCCTCGTGTGCTTGACACTCTCCATGTACGTCGACGTCCTTGATGTATTCATGTCTCATGTGCACATCGTGCAGCATGCTGAGCATCTCGGCGCCGACGAATCAATCGGCGATGGTGTTCACGGGCGTGTTTGTCGTGGTGTGGGCCGGTGCAGCCGTAGTGACGATCAACGCGCAATTGCTGGGCAGCACCATTTCGTTCTTCCAGAGCATATGCGTGTTGGGGTACTGCGTGTTTCCATTGGTGATTGCCACCCTCTTCACGACCATCTTCCGCGTCCTATCCCTGGGGCATGTGACTGTCCGTCTCGTGGTGGTCGCCGTCGGCTTCCTCTGGTCCACTCGAGGTACATCCACGTGTCTAGTTGCTCGCCCGTTGACGACGAGTGTGTCTGGTGGTCTAGCTTCGGTGGTGTTCATGTCCCAACTGGTGCCCCCCAAGCGGAAAGCGCTGACCGTGTACCCCGTGCTCCTGTTCTACCTCTTTATCGGGTGGATGATTTTGATCTCGTAAGCATATGCACTTTGAATATATCGTCATGCATTTGATCACTGTCCAGTTGTTTGTACGAGGTACAATAGTAAACCTGCCAACTCCCACAATTCGCACATGCACTACTGTGTGGCTAACATGTCGACATATATGCGCAGCGCCGTGCATTTTCGTCGTCTCCAGTATTGTCAAGTGAATTCGAAATTGGAGTGTGGGGGGGGTCAAATATCGACAGACAATCGATATATCGACCAATCAAAACCCAGAACATGAATCCAGTAGCCAATCAAATGATCCACGCTTCGACGAATTGATCATCGAAATAGTGTGTGACTTAATTTAGTGTGACACTGCTTACGACAAACATCACTACAAAGAATCGATCGATAAACTTGGTGAATCAGCACAAAAGTAGTCCAAATTTATAAAAGGACAATCAATATATATATATATATATATATATATATATATATATATTGGACTATCATCCACTTGCTGTTTCACCATCCATCAGCTCGTCGATATAACAATCACAGAGTCATGTCTTTATAACGTCATATCGAATCCTGTTGCTAAAACTTGACGGCGGCAACCGCCGCGGTGCTGAAGTCCACGCGCAAATGCATCAAGTCGACGACCCGCTGCTTCGACAGCTTCCACTCGACGCCCTTGGTCGACCGGCCAAATATCTCGACGACGTCGTCAGGACTGTCGACATTGAGCACCTACGTCCACGACTTCAGTCCCAACACAACACTCTAACTTTACAACAAAACACGTGGGCAAAACTGGTTTAGCCCAACACAAAACACACGCAATCCTTGCCACGAATCATCGATCGTTTGTACGAACCAGGGCAGTTTGTCGCAACGGGGCAAACGTGTGGTCGTGGCGGGGGCTGTGGTGGCACTTGTCGCCAAAGAACGCCGCGAGCACGCGCACTTCCTTGTCGAGCTGCATCGCCCCCAGCTGATTGAACGTCTTGGTGCCGATCATGGCGTCAACGGCGTCGGCCACGCCCTCCGCCACGCCCTCCATCAACGTCACAAAGTTGGCTCGGGACAAGTGCGCGCCGAAAGGCTCGACGGACGCCGCCACCGTCTGCACCAGCACGTGCGCAAATGGATCGTTGGCCTCGTTGAAAGTGAATTGGTCGTCTGAGAGGTCGTATGACACGCGCTTGAACAGCGGCGCGGCAGTCGCCGACACTTTGGGCTGAAGCAGGTCCGTCACGACCGAGTCGTGGCATGTCAGTAGCAGCGCCTTGAACTCGCTCGCAGTCTCTTCCAGGCCTATTCTCCCCCACCACACATATGCACAGACATGTCAAGAATAGAAGTAGGGCATTGATTCTTGGATTCGAATATATATATATATAGGCAAGTGTCACGATAGAAGTCGTTGTCGTCGTGCTAGAAATGGTCGTACAGAATGAGGAAAGTGTACTTTCATACTACGCCACACAGTTCGACATATATATGATTTAAAAGGTTTCGAATAATAATATACAAATAATATATATATATATATCGATGATGTCATAACTATCATCAAGAGACACACACATACAGGCACACTTTATCTTCTATATATATATATACCCATAGCTATACTGTACATTCTACACTGGAGCGACATGGAGAATGAACGTCGACACAACCAAAGGATGTACAGAACAGAGTAGTATTTAGGCCAATCAGATGGCAGGAAATCGTCGTCAAATTAGTGTGTGAATTTAATTAGTGTGATACCAATCACCACAGGACACGTTTTACCATACAAAATTCAGTACAAACAATCGATATCGATCAATTTGGCAATTCAGCACAAAAGTCAGCCAAATTTTGGGCAAAAGAAACACAATACTACATACCCAAGAGACATGACATGAGACGAGGCGGTTGGTCTGGGAACGTCGACGCGACTTGGGCCTCAAACGACGCTTGGAGTTGCGCCAAGTACTGCCCGACGGCGTCCAAGCTGTTCATGGTCACAGGGGGGGCGAGCACCAAAGCGGGCATGCCGCCTTTGCCGCCGAGTGCAGACGCGGATGATCGGGGGTTGGACGTCGGGGGGGACGTCAGCCCCTTGGTTTTCCCGAGTGTTGTGGCCATGTGGTCGCGCAACTGCTTGGGGGTGAACGTCGCTAGAAGACCCAACGCGGCGCCGCCAAACCCGCCGGACGCGCCATCCTTCCACACATTGTTCTGGACGCGACTCTTTAACACGTCGCCCACAGTCGACTGCACGAGGGTCGCCACGACATTGAGCACGGCGCATGCGCTGTCGACGTGGCCAGTGGCGAGTGCCCGCGCGCCGGACAGCCGCGCCACATAGAATACTTCGTCCACCACGGATGACAGCGGCACGAGCTGGTCGGTGTCGAGCACCACGGAGCGGATTTCTTCAAGCGCCAGTGCTTTCTTGGCAGCAAAGACCAACGATTGCTCTTCCAGGGAGCAGTAGAACCCGGCTAAGTCCTGCACGCACTGGTTGAGGTCGCTGGCGTTGTACGAAGGGAGCAGCGCTGTGGGAACCACACGTCGATGGGGGGTCGTTGGAGAGTGTGCCACGTAATGAGTCTGTCGACCTCGCATGAACCGCTCAAACGTTTGAGAGTGCTGAATGATCATGACCAGTTCGTTCAAGTACGGATGCAAATCCAAATCATCGTCGTCTTTGAACGACGCAGATGATGGGGGGGTGGTGGTGGTGGGTGGGGGGGATAGAGGGGGTTGAGATGTGCTAGACGATGGAGGAAGAGGCGGCTTGAGTGCGGCGCGCGCTTTGGCCAAGAGCCCCGGTAGCCCCCGCTGCTTCCCGTACGAGGTCAAGATGGACACTGCCGCGGGGGTGCCGACGGCATACGCGGCCGCGAGCATCCGATCGGCGCCTTGCACAGATTGAAACGACTGTACCAACAACGGTTCATAGTACGTTGTGGTTTCGGCCACGCAATTGAATACCTATCACCACAATGCTGTGTGAATCGCTTAGAGATTGCCACGTCACACAGCTCAAGGCTCGATTCAATCAAGGAAGAGCGACATGTTCTACTGAGTGGATCTTGTGTTAATACCTGCACCAGTTGACTTGTGAGTTCCTGAACGCTCCAGATTGCATTGGGCGGGCCTACGATCGCGTCGAGGTGGGCTTGGAGTTGCACGTGGATGAACTTGAGCACCATTTGCACCCCTTCTTCGGCGAATTGCATCGGCTCGAAGATTGAACCCACGCGAAGGAGCTCGCGGGTGTCCTTGTGTCGAAGCGCGGCGTCCAACTGGCCTTCGATGGCAAACCGGATGTCGCTTTCGGCATGGTTCATGCGAAGGGTGTCGCTCACGTCCAACGGGATGTGCATGGCTTCGATCGCTCGCAGATCCTTGAGACACGCGGCCGCGTCCACGTAGTTCTTGTCCGTCATGGCCCCCTTCAAGCGCTGCATGCATTGGCGGATGCGCAACATGCAGTCGCTGCGCTCCACGCACGCCTTCAATCGTTCTTGGATCTTGCCCAGCTTGCGCACCTCCCGCGTCATTTTCTCGGCCACATCGTTCGCACTCACGATCGCCGCGCCGACTTGCGCGGTTTGACGCCTCAGCGCCTCAATCCCGCCCTGGTGCTTGACCTGCAGCAACGTTTGGGTGCGTTCCTGCAATTGCTCGTGCTCCGAAAGCTCCCCATCCTTAGTGGGGGATGTCCTTGTGACATACGACTCGAGGGAGGTCCTCACAGACGCTTCCTTCGCCAAGGTCGCTGCCAGTTCGTCACGCAGTTGTTGCAACTTGAGTGTACCCATGACTGTCGCCTCGGATGATCTCAACAAGAAAGCAAAATCCAAGTTGCGATCGGATTGGCTGCATATAGCGATTAAAGTGTTTTGATTCGCCAATTGTTTTTATTTTATCCAATGCAATATCATTTTGTAGCAAAAGTGCAGTGCAGCCCGGTATAATAGTACTTGTATTCTCTCGAAGATCGAACGCTGTTGATGTCACGGGGAAACCTGACATTGCTGACGATGGTGTCGACCATCGGTGGCTTCTTGTTTGGGTATGATACGGGCGTCATCTCCGGGGCACTTCTCTTCTTGCAGCAGGAGTTTCAGTTGACACCGTTTGAAAGCGAACTGGTCGTGTCCGCGACGGTGTTTGGTGCGATTGCTGGCGCCGTCATCGGCAGCAGTGCCAACGAACTGTGGGGGCGACGGAAGGTCATTCTCTCCTCTGCCTTGCTCTTTGCGTTCGGCGCGCTTGGCATGGGGCTAGCACGGTCCGTGCAAGAGCTCGTGCTGGGTCGACTCGCCGTCGGCGTTGGGCTCGGCCTTTCGTCCATGACAGGTTGACCTTTACATACTCCTCTCATGCATGATCCATCAAATAACGTCTTCGTTTCCATCTATCAACGTTCATGTTTCCTTCAGTGCCCCTGTACATTGCCGAAGTGTCGCCGCCCGACATGCGCGGCACGCTCGTGTCCCTCAATACGCTCCTCGTGACCGGTGGTCAATTCTTCGCCACCGTGTTCGCGGCAGTCTTAAGCAGCTCTCCGTCTGGGTGGCGATACATGCTTGGCCTGGCTTCCCTTCCTGCCATGTTGCAGTTTATCGGGTTTCTCTTTCTTCCAGGTGATCTTCAACTCGATGTTGCATCCTTCCACGTTTCCATGATTATTGCTGAGTGCCGGCCATTTAGAGTCCCCACGATGGCTCGTTCAACATGGCCAGCACGACGCCGCCGTGGCCGCCCTCGCTTCCATCCGAGGCGAAAAGGACTTTCAACACGAGTTGCGTAGCATGGAAGCTGAGTTAACCACACTTAGTCGTGGCGGCGCAGGCATCGCTGGCTTGTGGACTGCAATCTCGCAGTTTGCTTCTGTGCGACGAGCTGTGGTGCTTGGGTGCGTGTTGCAGGTATTACTAATCATCCCGACTAGCAAGCATCAGATCGTGCCATGTCATCGTAGATGCTACAGCAGTTTTGCGGTATCAACACGGTCATGTACTACGGCGTGACGATCATTCGCCTCGCGGGGTTCACCGACAGCCACGTGGCCATCTGGCTGGGCGCGGTGGTTGCGTTAAGCAACTTTTTGTTTACGTTTGTCGGGATCTACTTGGTCGATCGGTACTATCCTCGTTGTAGTCGTCTCCATAATGTGATCACATGGGGGCGATGGTGATGGTGCTTAGCATGGGCCGGCGCCAGCTCACCCTGGGCAGCTTGCTTGGCGTGATGGTCATGCTGCTCGTCCTTGGCGCGGGGTTTTACGTGGCCGAAGTCCAGTCGCCGCCCGTCCATGGCGGCATCGACGCCTGCGCCGACTTCACCACATGCTTTGATTGTGTGGCCAGCACGAGCTGTGGCTTTTGCCCCGTCGCGTCGCTCTCGCCCCCACCGTCCGTTGTTGTTGACGCTGCTAGTAGTAGTAGTACTAGTAGTAGTGGGGTGTGCTACCCGGGGACGGCCGCCGGGCCCGCGCATGCCGCCTGTGCGGGCGGCGGCTGGTCCTTTGATGCGTGCCCCAACACCACCCACGCCCCAGGCTACGTCATTCTCGCCGCTTTGTTTGTGTACTTGGCGTGTTTTGCCACTGGCATGGGTGCGTCGCTCGTTTCTTTGTCGTGTGCTCGTTAGAAGTGACTGTGGCCTCCTGTTAGGCCCCATGCCGTGGACTATCAACGCAGAGATCTACCCCCTCTCGGTCCGAAGCACCGCCATCAGCCTCGCCACCGCCGTGAATTGGATCTCCAACCTTGTTGTGTCCTTGACGTTTTTGAGTTTGATCCAAGCTACGTCTACGTACGCCACGTTTTGGCTGTATGGCGCGGTCGCTACGGTCGGGTTTGTGTACTTGGTGTACCATTTGCCAGAGACCAAGGGGTTGACACTGGAAGAAATCGATGGCGTGTTTCAAGTGCGGGGCGGGGTCACGTATGAGCCGGTGGCCACGGACCGCACCTTGTAAGCCACCGATTCTTAGCGAGCCATGTATGTAGAACAATCACTAGTTATCCGACTTTGAAGTACACTTTTGCGAAGACGCTGGACGTGGTGTTGGTTGTTACTCGGTCTTTTTCGATGGGGCGGCGGCGGGTTTGGTTCCCATGCTGAACTTGAGGACGGGGAACAACACGGCATACAGCAACGGCGTGGCAATCAACAGGAACGCCGCCCACATGTAGATCGCATTGAGCAGAATGAACCGGAACTGGGACAACGTGCCGACCAAATCTTCTTGGAGTCCCTACGCAACCATTTGTTCGTTCGTTTGTTCGTCATCATGAAGCAGAGGTTGTCGGCGCACCGTGAAGAGCGCATTCACAGAGAACTCTTCCTTGCTGTCGCCAAAGTACTGGTTACCATACGCCCTACACGAAGCGTTAGCCTCAACATGAACGTACCTAGTATCAACGTACACAAACACAGGCACGGACGCAATATTCAATGGCGTCACGAGGTAGTTTGTGAGCATGGCCGCGACGGGATTCAATCCAAGCAAGAACACGACAATCACCACAGGAATCGTCGTCAGGCCTGGAATGGGGAACACACCTGTCCACAGAAGCAAGTTCAATTCCAGCCTAGGAACTGTATGGCGATATCGTACGTACCGCAGGTGATGCCAAAGGACATGGACAACGCTAGTGCATGGGGGGACACTACACAGCATGATGAACGTCGTACGACATGCACCACATCAAGCAGGGCACATCGCATCAACCTACCACCGGACGATAGCAAGTCCACAATCGGCTTCTTGACCTTGGTTTCAAAAAACGACATCTTTGAATATGGGGCCAATGTGCCAAATGTCGAATAGTACTACTAGTCAAAATCGTAGTAATACTAACTACATTTAGTACTACTAGTATATTATTAATAGTATTCGAATCATCACGGTTTTTCCATGGAAGTTGGCGATTCTTTCTGGGGGCGAGCAACGGGTGTATCTTCACAAGTCCTTGACGCTGCCATAATATATATACAACTGACAGAGCCAAACGAGTCTGTCAGTTGGGTTGGGAACGGAGGCTAACCAACTCAAGATGACGCCGCTACTCGGTTGGCGTCCAGCGTCCATGCATGCGGCCACAGGTGGAGTACCGACCCCACTGGTGGCACTGGTCTGAGCAGGGGGACGTCGTCGGCTGTGTTGATCTACTCTCTTGGCATTGCGCCACGTTCAACAAGGACACACCCAGGGCGAGTCGCTTCTTGCGCTGACTGCGGGTAGTCGTCGTGCGGCGACGGACGGGGGGGGAAGCTGGCAGCGACGGCGTCGTCTTGGCCACCGCTAGCCGCGACGACGACCGACGCTCGTGGGTCGAGTGATGGCACACCGCCGTCATGGGGGTCAGCGTAAACTCGAGGGTCAACGGCTGCTTGGAAATGTCTTGGTCATCTGGGATCGTCATGTCATTGCCGTCGTCGCTGTCATCAGCATGGTCGACGTCCATCAGGTCAAAGCCATAGCACAGATCGTCGTTGTGGTCGTCGTACAGGTCGTCGTCGTGGTTGTCCAGGGGGGACGTCACATGTAACGCGAGTCCTTCGGCCAACACCTCGGGCATGCGAATGGACTTGAAACGATCCCAGAGCGAAGTCGATGGCGATGGCGGCGGCGGCAGCATGTCGTCGAGTGGCGTCGCCGTCGTCTGGGTCGGGCACGCTTCGATTGGTTCCAACTCACAAGACGACCGGAACCGTTTGAACAGAAAGTCTGGCGTCGTCCACGGGCGGCGGGACGATGGCGCCTGTTCGACGGGATGGTCGTGCCGCAACACAATGTCCACTTCGTCTTCGTCCAACGCGATCGGCGCAGACGAGGCGGCAACGTCAAAGTGCCGTTTCTTCTTGAGCTGCATCGCGGTCGCCGCCTTTTTCTTGTTGTCGGCAATCACTGGGGAAATGCCAAATGTATCGGGCAATCCCAAAGGCAACGGGGTTGACTCGGGCAGCTGCACGTGCAACAACCGACTGCTTCTCAAATGGCGAGAGGTTGGAGCGGGGGTCGTATAGGGCTGAGGAATGGACGACCCACGGCGCGTGGATGCGGGGGTCATGATGGCATGGATGGGCGATTGAAAACTGTCGACGTGGGTTTCCTCAGGACAAGTTGCAACGACACGCATGGTGCACGAAGTCGTCACGACGGTAGACGACGACGAGGTTTGCACAGCATGCCGCTGCTGTTTCTGTTGTTGGTTCGTATGCGAGGTTTGGTCTGTCGATGTCACGAAACTGCTTCGAGGTTTCATCGGGGTCACAAAAGCGTCCGCCGTGATGGCGCCGCAGCTTCCATTTGTACGCGGCATGACGTCGGTCGTTGGAGGATGGTAATCGCGTTGTTCTATCGATCGGAGCCATGACGTCCGTCGTGGCGTGGGCTCTTGGCGGAGCGTCGCGACATCAATGTTGTCGTCGTCGTACTTTCGAAGCACCAGCAACCCTGGGCCACAGAAATCGCCAATCGACTTGACGTAGAATTGCTTCTTCATATCTTCGGGCGTGGCCTGCAGCTGTCCGGTTGCGGCTAGGCGCGCGCACTCTGCGTCCGTGAGGGCATGAGACGCGAACGCGGCGTCCATCGTGGTCTACCGTACAGTGACGTGGGTCTGGTTTGCTTCCGACTGTCAAAGCGAGCTAGCCAACCCCAGTTTCAAAATTTGATTGAGCACACAGCTGAATTTACATTTGTGTATATTATTATCTTGAGCAATGTATGGCGATTGGAAAGAACAAACTAGTTTTCGAAAGACTATTTTTATCCCGAGGCAATCAATATAGCATACAAAGTCAAAGTGATAAATTTAAAATATTTGAATTCCACCAGCTGTCTACAGGAAAAGATACGACCAATCCCCGCCAAAACTGCTACGATATACAAAAGCCAAGTCTATGGCCGTTGTGTAACTGGCGGGATTTGGCTTATCTGGGACAAGGGCGCCAACCAAATTGTGGATAAGCCATGCATGTGTGAGGGCTAGACCAGTGCACATGAGGTGGCAATGTCCGACGCTAACGAGCGCATGAAGCGAAGACGTGTGTGTGCTTGGGAAAGATCGACAGGAATATGTCATGGATTACACAGACGGAGAAGGCTTGTCAGGCGTTGCAACACCAAATCGTTCTTTGCGCACACAGAAAACTCGTCATACGGCGGTGCGATGGTCGCAGCCCCGCCAAACACAATCAATTCGTTTGTCGTGGCATCAATCGATGCCTCGATGCAATGCTAGACATGTAGTCAGTGGTGTGTGCCGTGGAAACCTGACAGAGTTAACTATATACCTGTTCCAGGTGCTGCCGCAGGGATTCCAGGGTTTGACTAGCATGACTCAATTGCATCGTAGCCGCCAAACGGAGACGAATGGTCGAGACAGCTGTCGAGCTCTCGTCTGTGTCGCGTTCGATCGACGCAATTGCGTGCGCCATTACCGTGTGCGTTCGCACGGCCTTGTCGTTCTCGTCGGGTAACCACTCCAACAAGATGACATTTCCATTTTCAGGGTCGATGCCGAACAAGGCACCACGTAGGAATGCTAGTGAATGTAGCGACACCACAACTGCATCTCCCAGCAGCTCAGCATACGTTTCGTAGATCGGATGTGCTGTCAAGGCGGTGGTGGCGACGGCAGGAACTGCTGTCATGTTGAAAATAACATCCGGATAACACTTTTCCCCGGATACACAGCACCCAAAAGTATCACTTCTGATTTTGGAATCTTGAGAAAAAAACATCCGGATATCACTTTTCCCCAGAGCCTGCGGGAATCTTTCATGGGCAAAACCTCCAAAAGTCATAATATAAAATGAGTTTAAAATGCCTTCGAATTGTAACAGTCCTACATCGGATCAAAATACGTAGTTTCGAATGCTTATTTGGTGAAATGACTCACAAGTCCAAAATTGGGTAAAAGCACACTATTAATACAATTATCGACACAAAGTTATTGTGGTATACTTCAAGTATTCGATACGAATTTCCAGACCCCGTCGAATCGAATATCGAATCACGAATCGACGCTATTGGCTAATCCATTTTTTGTAGTGTATTTGATTGGTAGAAAGGACAATTAGAACTCCGGCGTGATTTTGATTCGACAAACCAGGCGAATTTTGGAAGTTTATATTCACAATACTATTAATACTAACTACTACGTATATATTATACTATTAATAAGTAATACATGATTGACAAACGTGTGTGTTTTTTATCGTGCATTGTCTTATGGTACGTAAAATGAAGATGGAATTTACTGTAAATGATAGAGTAAGTACAAGACCACGTTAGAACGGGTTGGACGTGGGTTTTTCCATGTACACCCAGAGGGTAATCACGACCAGGCCAAACGCGATCGTGGATTGGCCGAAAAAGTTGCCTTGGTCCATCAAGCTCTGGTAGCTCCACCCAAAGTACTCTTGGATGCTCATGCGAACACTCGGTCCAAGCTTGGTGGCAATGTACAGCCCCATCATGAGACTCGCAGCCAAGAGCGACGCGCCGTGCGACGTCTGCAGTGAATTGTACGCGGCAAAGAAGCGAATCACCGACCACACACAGCCAAACACGAGCCCAAAGAACACGAGGACGTTCGGGAGCTCCGTGGCCGACCCGCGCGACGAACTGCCAGTGACAAACCACGTCGGCTCCTTGCCCGTGATCTTCCACCAGAAAGTCTCGAGCACGGCCGACGTGTGCGTGAACGCGTACACAAACCACGCCTCCTGGGACCGCACGACGTCGTTGTTCTCGACGCTGCGGTTGCTCAGTGCCGAGAGGGTGCCTTGGATGAGCAGCTTGGGCACCAACGCGTAGAGCAGGCGCAGGCCAGCCATGTAGATGGGGGCGTACCCCGTGTACAAAAAGTACAGCGTCATGTAGTAAAACAGGAGCGCGTTGATCGAGTTGACGGGGTAGATGGTCGAGTTGATGTAAAACACCTTGCGCATGAACCCGTTGGCTTTCTTGTTGTTGGGAATGGCCGTACTCGGGCGCTTCCAGTCCTTGTCAAAGTAGCTCTTGGTTTTGTTCATGAGCATGATTTGAAAGTTGCCTTTGGCCCATCGCTTGCGCTGCGCGAGGGAACTCGCAACGTTGTCCGGGATCAACCCCTCGGCCAGCCGAATGCGCTCGGATGTTTCGCCTTCAAAGTCTTTGCGAAAGTACAGCCCCTTCCACCCCATCGCACACAGTTGCTGGCCAGTATAACAGTCTTCTGTCAAGCTGCCATACTGGATCCCGCCGATCGAGTCCAACGCTTCGCGGCGAAAGATGGCGTTCGTCCCGGCAAACGACGCACAGTCGTATCCATCTTGGCCGGTTTGAATCGCATCGTAAAACGTGGCATTGCGATGGCCGAGGGGGTCACCGATTTGGAACTGGACGCAGTCGCGAAAGTACTGCGGCGTCTGCACAAACGCGACAGCGTTGTCTGCGACAGCGTCCGAGTACGGCGACGACGACTGCGCGAGGCCGTCTTCCATGTCGGGGGCGGCGGGATGGGTGCACATCTTGCACGCCCCATGGGTGTCCATCACGTTGTTGCATGTCATGCAGTACAACACTCGCTTGGACGCCCCCTTGTTGGGCTTCTCGCTCATGGTGCCGTTCACTTGGCGGCGGTGGAGTGCGCTCGACGTGTGCATGGCGTTCTCAAAGCACTGCTTCGAGCAGTAGCTGACTTGGTCTTCGGGTACCCCCGCGATCTTGCACGACGAGCACACCATGCGCGCGACGCGGTTGCAGCCGGTGGTGCAGCATGCAAACTTGGCCGCGTTGGATCGATCTTCCGAGTCAAAGAAGAACGGAAGCGTCGCCAAGATGAACTTGGGGTGCGGCTGCATGTCATTGTCCAGGATCACCATGTATCGGCCGCTCGCGCCTTCGTTGTAGCATGCGTTGTTGATGTTTCCGGCCTTGGAGTAGTGCGTCGAAGGCTTGACTCGGCCGACAAACGTCACATGGGGGAGGCCGCTGTACCGGTAGTCGTCGCGGAACGATCCGGCCGCGCAGTCGGCGCGGTTGACCACCCGTGGACGGCTCGCGGTCGGGAGGTTCGCGGCCGAATGGAGCTTGCGCCACGCATACACTTCCATGTCTTCGTTCGGGTCGCATACGCGGTCGTACATGAACTGGGCCACTTCCTGGCGCAAATCGCCGGCGCTTTCGAGCACGCTCTTGTTGAGCTCGATCGTGGGGACGGGGTTGCCCTTGGTCCACTTGGCTTTGCAGTACCCGTCGTCGAGCACGTAAATCTGGAGCAAGTGCGGCGGGTACTGCAAGTTCATGCACGCGGCCAACGTGTCGATGGTTTCTTCCGCGGGTTCCGAGTAATGGCAGATGAACACGTCGACCTTGGGCCATTGCTCGTCGGGCAGCTTGGGCTCGAATTCGTCCAGGTAGTGCGCGCCGCGACGGACGGGCTTCCACATGCCAAGGTAGTAGATGGCACTGAGCACAAAACTCAGCGTTTCTGCCACCAACAACGAAAAGTACGACACCCATTGCGCGATTGGGGGCTTGGCAAAGCACATCACGTCTTGGACGCCGGCGAACTTGAGCCACCAGCGCGGCGGGCGGAACACGCCGTTGAATGGCTGACTCATGCAGTGCAGGTCGTCCATCGACTGCTGCGTGATGATCTCACACGACACGGTCAGCCGCGCCTGGTCGCACGGTTGTAGCCCCACGACAAACCAAAACACAATGCCTGCCACTTCCACTAGCCCCGCAAGGATGAATAGCACATACAGCATGCGATACGTGCCCGTGCCCTTCATCTCGTACTTGCGGACGTTTGGCAGCTTGCGTTCGATGACGTTGCCCGCGCCGTTCGCGACGATCGCTTGCTCGACGCCTTGGAACCACATGCGGTATTCTTCGTCGCTCTCGGGACACAACACCCACACGCGGCGCTTGGTGTGGATCTCGAACCCCTTGGTTGGGAGATCCAGACGCGCCGACGGACGGAGTTGCAGCGCGTCCTTCAAGTCGATAGCACCCACGACCAGGTCGACGTTTCGAGTCGTAAAGTACTGTCGGCACTCCAAGTGCGTTTGAAAGTAGTAGATCTTGGCCTTTTCCAGCGCAAAGTACCGCTTCTTCCAGCTCTTGTGGATCGGACCTTTGATCGACCGCTTTCCTTGCTTGTGCATGTACCCGTGCACAGAAATGACGTTGTCCTTGCCGTTGCCAAAGACCGCGGCATCAGTCATTTGGACCGGAGCTTGTGTTGGGCCTCGCGGGTCGGACGTTTCCGGGTTGCCCGTCGGTCGGCCTTCGACGACACGGCGCGTCACCTCAGCCTCTCCACGCACGGGGGTCGCATAGTTAGTGTACTCCTGTTCCTGCGAGCTCAGGGGAGGTCCATTCTTCTTGAACATGGTGGTGCCGTCGCCTTGTCAAGCCGGTTGCGATGCCAGACGAAAGAAGAACAAGCAGCAATCGCCCCCTCAAAGTTACAATGATAAAAGGGCGGTCGCAGGGCTGGCCTTTCGAAGTTTCGGCAGTCGAAATTCGAGTAGTAATGCCTGCACAGGTCTGGATTTGACTTGTTTTTTGTATACTTGACCACGCGCGAGCGGAAATGGAACATCAAGGTATACAAATCCCAAGATAAATGTCGAAGTTTAGAACACTTATTGCACGGGAGGAACAATTTTACGATCTCGCAACCAATGCATGGCGAATCAACTTGGCAAGACCATACTGATCATTGCATTGTGTCATGACTAGAAGGACGGGGGATGCAACCATGGCATTGTCGCAATGCAAACCAGGTGAACCATATTAAAAAGCATGAAACGCCGCAAGCAAGGCGAGATCATTTTGGGAAATACTCCAATTTCCGCCTGATAGAACGATTCAAGTGTACGGTTATGATAAAATGTCAACTGTCCTACGATCGAAAGTTTGGCGAATTCGATTGTTTGTAAAAGGTAGTTTTTAAACAAGAAAACTTGAATATTTGGTCCAGGACAAGTCCATTTGTAGTATAAAATTTGGTCGTAAAATCAACTTTCGGTCACTTTATATGAACGTCCTTTTTTTATTGTAGAAAGAAATTGGATGATTAGCTGACATTTGGCTATGCTCTTAACGTTGGTTTTATCTCCAATCACCATTTTGGACTTGGGATTGATTCACGACCCACAGCAGTCCACACTGAATTTTTACGCATGTTGATACTATTAATACGTAGTAGTACAGTACTACAGTAGTACCGTGGATGTAACCAAGTGTATGACACGAATGGTTCCGGTTGCATTGTGGCGTTCGTTGGCCAGTCAAACTTCGCTTTCGACGGACAATGCGGTAAGCGTATACGTTGGCTTTTACACTGTACATTAGCTGCGAAAGGATCGACCCAAGGATAACGTGTGCCTGCAATATGCAGCCCCTGCTTCCATTTACCTTGACCTCTGGAGAAGGGATCAGATAAAACCGTGCATCTGCTCTGACCGCACATCGATCCCCGATCCAGGTCGGTCGCAGGCTTTGCCTTCGTCCTCCAATGAGCAATTGCGCAAATTGTTAAGTTTCTTCCATGTGTGAAGTTGTTCTTATGTGGTTGAACGAACGTTAACTAGAAAAAGTATGGACTGCAGATTGAGACCAAGATAATCATTCAGGAATCTTGCCAATTGGCAATCACTTCCAAGCGTGAGAAGCTTATCACCACAACGTGGAGCAATTGTGGCCAGCCTGTGATTTTTTGGCGAGTAACGCTCGCTCAATTGTGAATTGCATTTTGTCGTCGTGTCACATGAGTCGTTCTTCTAAAATCTCATTCTAGTCAAAACCTGCAAAATATTAAAATATTTTGCAGGTTTGACTACGTACTAGTAGTATTATTATACTATTAATTACATAAATATCCAGAAATGTTGGGATAACGTTACTGCTGGTACTGTATGACTGCGAAGTACAACCTCGGCGGAGCTACTGTACTACCGGTACAGCACTCTCCCCAAACCAATACTACTATTAGTACTGTAAAAGTGTACCATGCTAGCCTAAGCTTACACAGCAAGTCACATCAGTAACGTTAACATGTACCGATACCATGTTTCGTCGAGACTTACAGATGGTCACGGTTAGATTGGCAAGCCTGTGCACACGGAAACTCAAACTTTCGCGATCGAAACAAGTGTGGGTTGGTTGTGGTAGTTAAGTCCGCTAGCTGCCAACGCAGCTACCGGTAGTACGCGGCCGAGGCCATTAAGTGCCCGCTGAGTGATTTTAACTTTACAGCGTAATATCAATATCAAGTGTGGGTTGGTTGTGATAACCTTTCACATATTTGAAATGTCCTAGGTTCCCTAACGTTACCACTTCCTCAAATCCAGGGAGCACTTCAGACACAATGGCTCCGCTTGGTGCACTTGCCTGTTAGCGTGGTCGTCGGTTGTAGTGCTTGTTAAAGTCACTCCCCTCCAGCTCCTTCTCCGTCGATCGAGCACTCGCAAATCGTATGATCAGGTTGTGCATCGATCCAGCAACGAAACTGGGACCTACATTGCGAAGCCAATCAAAACGCTCGATTCGTATTCGTTTTTACTTCTTACGAATATCAAGATAGAATAAACTGGTTGTAATATAATTTGGCGCACAAAAGCAAATGTTGACAAGCCAAAAACTGTTCTCTGCGCATATTTAAATCAAGTGAGAAAACGACCGCGGATTGCAGTGTTGGAGCCGTTTCAGATTTCGAGGGGGTTTTGCAATCCTTTGAGGTCATGCATTTTCCATTTAACCGTTCCGGGTGAAGCAGGTCAAGCATGTCGCGGGAAGGCGGCAAGGAAAGTGCGTACGAGGTCCATGCAACTCCCCGCGAGACCGATTCGTCCTCTGGGGACACCGAATTCGTCCGGCATCGCGTGGAACGTCCAGCAGGGAACCCCGAAGCCGTGGTGGACCCCCGCGCTTCCTACCAAGCGCCTGTGAAAGTGACCGAGATCAACACAGCTCGAAAGGAGAATTCGTCAAGTGATGAAACCATGATCTCCGTGCACGGGTACATGCACAAGCAGGGGAAGCGGTCCATCAAAGGTCCAATCCACAAGAGTTGGAAAAAGCGATACTTTGCGCTCGAAAAGGCAAAAATCTACTACTTCCAGAACGACACGGACTGCCGCCGGTACTTTACGACGCGAAACGTCGACTTGGTCGTGGGGGCCGTCGAATTGAAGGATGCACTGCAACTTCGCCCGTCCGGTCGGTTGGACCTTCCAACCAAGGGCTTTGAAATCCACACCAAGCGTCGCGTGTGGGTGCTCTGCCCGGAAACCGACGACGAATACAAGATGTGGTTTGAAGGCGTCGAGGAAGCTATCGTTGCGAGCGGGGCGGGGAACGTCATCGAACGCCATCTCCCAAACGTGCGCAAGTACGTCATGAAAGGGTTACCCACGTACCGATTCCTGTACGTGCTCTTTCTCCTCGCGGGTCTCGTGGAGTTGGCAGGTCTTGTCTTATGGTTCGTTGTGGGAGTGCAGCCATGCGACCAAGCGCGTCCGACCGTCGATTGCGGGACTATTTTGTCTCAAACGATGGACCTCCTCAAGTGCGGAAACAAACCATTCAACGGCGTGTTCACGCCCCCCAAGTTTTGGCTCACGTTTGCGGGCGTCGACAACGTCGTGTGCTGGGCCGAACCTCCCATCGGGCAGTGGATTTCTTACTTTTGCCTGTTGTTGGCGGAACTCATCAGCTTCGTGTTGGGGTCCATCTACTACCTCGGTATGTGGAAGCCCGTCCGTCGCGGCGCGCACTACCTGGACGAATTCGAGCCCAAGCTTCCCGACGAGCAATGGCCCAAGGTCGACGTGTTCATCTGCCATTACTCGGAACCCGCGGAAGAAACCATCGACACGCTGGCGGCGTGCATGAACTTGCAGTACCCGCCGCACTTGCTTCAGATTTTCATTCTCGACGACGGGTACTGCAAAGCCAAGTGGACCAAGGGCAACCCCGTCCCCACGATCGAGCTCAACAAGGGGGTGATCGAACAGGCCGGCGACTTGCGCCAGGAAGTGGCCCAATACATGTACGACCGCGTGAGCGACCCGAACGATGACGTAGAAGTGTACGCGTGGCGCAAGCTCCATTCGTCCGCCAACTTGCCAATGGAGTCGCGTCCTCGTGTGGTCAACCGCGCCGACTGCGCGGCCGGATCGTTCCGCGACGACTACCGGTACAGCGGCCTCCCCCATGTGACGTTTGTCGGCCGAGTCAAGCCTTCGACGCACTACTCCAAGGCCGGAAACATCAACAACGCATGCTACAACGAAGGCGCGAGCGGCCGATACATGGTGATCCTGGACAATGACATGCAGCCGCACCCCAAGTTCATCTTGGCGACGCTTCCATTTTTCTTTGACTCGGAAGACCGCGCGTTGAAGAACAAGTACTCATGCTGCACGGGCGGGTGCAACAAGGTCGCGCGCATGTGCTGCGCGTCGTGCAAGATCGCGGGGGTACCCGAAGAAAAGATCAGCTACTGCTCCAAGCAGTGCTTTGAGAACGCTATGCACACGTCGAGCGCACTCCACCGCCGCCAAGTGAACGGCACGATGAGCGAGAAGCCCAACAAGGGGGCGTCCAAGCGAGTGTTGTACTGCATGACATGCAACAACGTGATGGACACCCATGGGGCGTGCAAGATGTGCACCCATCCCGCCGCCCCCGACATGGAAGACGGCCTCGCGCAGTCGTCGTCGCCGTACTCGGACGCTGTCGCAGACAACGCTGTCGCGTTTGTGCAGACGCCGCAGTACTTTCGCGACTGCGTCCAGTTCCAAATCGGTGACCCCCTCGGCCATCGCAATGCCACGTTTTACGATGCGATTCAAACCGGCCAAGATGGATACGACTGTGCGTCGTTTGCCGGGACGAACGCCATCTTTCGCCGCGAAGCGTTGGACTCGATCGGCGGGATCCAGTATGGCAGCTTGACAGAAGACTGTTATACTGGCCAGCAACTGTGTGCGATGGGGTGGAAGGGGCTGTACTTTCGCAAAGACTTTGAAGGCGAAACATCCGAGCGCATTCGGCTGGCCGAGGGGTTGATCCCGGACAACGTTGCGAGTTCCCTCGCGCAGCGCAAGCGATGGGCCAAAGGCAACTTTCAAATCATGCTCATGAACAAAACCAAGAGCTACTTTGATAAGGACTGGAAGCGCCCGACCACGGCCTTGCCCCCCAAGCCGAAACGCGGCCACTTTATGCGCAAGGT